TTCAAAAACTGTCGTAAATGAATGTAATTCTCATTATAATTAAAGTCATTTTCTATTATTTCGAGAATTCGTGGCTCTATTGTATTTTCTAACATGTACGTCTCGCCCGTCAAGGTTCCAGGAATAAAGAAAGGTCCTACAATATGATTTACGGAAATGCAAGAGTATACCTCAGGAAATAAATGTGGATTCGAGCCAGTCCAATATCGACAATTACGTATAAAATTACGTATACATTTAAAGAAACTAGAGAAAAAACGGATACTGTTGGAGGAACAGTATAGTAATCATATTCATCATGTGACAAAACTAGATAAAAGATAAAACCATTATCTATGAAAGTTAAATATATAGGTCACGTAAGAAGGATATCATTAATAGACTGGAAATACACAGCCTGTATAAAAAATATAATGGTCTTTGGGATAGTGGCGTCAAGTTGCTTGACTATGGTAGACTTTCAATGACGATATCAGATCTAATACATGCTATGGTATTTTTGCTCTTTACGAATAAAACATCTAATAGCTGTTCAGTTGCCTGCTTGTTCTGAGGAGATGAATGAGAGCAAACACCGACACGATTTTTCATGACGTATTGTTTATGACATGAAAATTGATCTCAATCTCATTTCGGCCACGTGAACTACAATTCCTCGCATATTCCCTGAAGTTTCTTCGCATTTCAGCAAAATTATCTAAATTTACTACTCACAAGTTGAAAAATGGCATTACTTCTACTAATTGGTTGTGGAGACAATCTTAATGAGGGTGCCCTTAAATATATATCTAACTTTGATATAATAATAAAATGTCAGTTAAGATAAAGACAAAGTAAATAGCATTATTAAGCTATAAATTAGCAACATAACCACAGTTGTTTTAATGAAATTTTGCTTGAAAAAGTTCTGTTGTTCCTATACATACTTTCAAAAGATTTAATAAGGTCAAAAGATTGACATATAAAACATCTCCCAATATAAATAAATTGGTAATTGCAAAAATCAATTAGATCCATTTTTTTATTCTGGTTAAACACCTTGTTAGTCACTTCCCATTCAAATAACACTTCATAATATATGTTAGTGCAAAAACATTATAAGTACAGGATGTATGAGAATAATGCATGCACTACTTGACAATGGGTACTTGAATGGCACATTTCAAAATCAGTATATCTGCATTATTTTATTTTCATATTTTTGTGATATACAGGGTTTCAGTTTATTGCTGCATAACTTCAAGATTCGATAGAACTTTTAAAATTAATGCATAAAGTCTATATAAACATGGGTCGAAAAATGCGTGGCTTCCGAAATACAGGGTGTTTAAATTTACTTTATAAAATAGTTTTTTTTTAAATATTTCGAACAATATTTGATGTATCACGGTGAAAATTGGTATACGAGGGTTTTTTGGTACGACAAAACGAACCATGGGCATAGTTTTACTGTAGTCGCTAGAGGGCGCTCTCTACTGTACCTGTAGTGTATTAAAATGAACGAAACAATTTGCTTAGTGCAATTTTTTGCTTTATAAATAAAAAAACTGATTCTTCGCACTTTTCTGCATAAAAGCTCTGTTGTGAGTTTTCGTTATAGTTAGCCGTTTTTGAGATATTTCGATTCTTCAGGTTCGATGCATTTTTCATTATTTATGGGAAAATAATATTTTTTTTTAAATTTTCGATTTGGGCATTACAAGTAATTAAAATGATCGTTTAGATTTTGTTTTTAAACACAGCAATAATTCCTAACTCCAAATAAACACAAAAAAACAGAATATTAATTTGTTTAATTTTCCAATATTATTTTTAACAAATTAAATTAATTATTTACAACTAAAATGCTATTGGATAGTTAGGACAAACTTACAAAATCTAAAGTAATTGCTCGAAATGTAAACCCAATTGTTCAATGCACAATTCACATCTACGAATGATCGAACATGGTATCGCATTATTCAAATAAGGCCTTATTTCATCACATTCATTCCTGATTCTGTCTATTAGCATATCTCTTGTAGTTACGGGAGTCTGGTACACTTTTTCTTTTAGAAATCCCCACACAAAGAAATCTAATGGGTTTAGGTCAGGGATCGTGGAGGCCAGTCGACTGGTTCTCCATGGTCGACCCATCTTTTTGGATAATTTTCGTCCAGCCAGTTTCTAGCTATTCTCGAATAATGAGCTGGACAATCATCAAGCTGGAACCAGGCCAATCTTCTAAAATCTAACATAACATCATCCCACATATTTGCATGTTCAGCCTTTAAAAATTCGTCGCAGCATTTAACCTTGCAGGCAAAAGGTAGGGTCCAAATAGTCGATTACGGTAGATACCAATCCACACGTTCACACTAAAATCATGCTGAAACTGTCTTTCCCGAACTGCATGCGGATTTTCATGCGACCAAATACATATATGTTGATTATGAAAATTTACCACTCCACGTCTAGTGAAGCATGACTCATCGGACCATAAAACGTTACTTAAAAACTCCCTATTATTATCAGTTCTATCAACAATCCACTGACAAAATGTGATTCTTCGTTCTCCATTCCCTGGCTATAGTCCTTGCACAGGTTGCAAATGACGTCTATGGTCATTTCTAAGAACACGGTGAACATGGCTTGCTGAAATTCCCAAGGCACCAGAAACTCTCCTAACACTTGTGGTCGGATCTCTATCAAACTCACGCAGAATCATACGGGTAAATCTGCGCTGACGAACATTTATGTTTTGATTCCTTTGGAGATTTCCAAAACCATTTTCAATTATTTGGCGATGCACTCTTACAAATACTGAGCGAGTTGGATGTCGTCTGTTTGGAAATCTTCGTGCGTATTATCTGGCTGCTTCTGCTGCGTTTCCATTTACAAAGCCATACACAAAATGAATATCCGCTAACTCTTGATTGAAGAATAAAAATGGCAGTAAACTTACAAAAAAAAAAACAGGTAAAAGAAACTAAATTTCGTGCATTCACAATTGCAAAAAGACGTTTCAGGTTTCAACAGACAACAAAACTAACTGTCAACTAATTGACGTTTAACCTTATTTTGCTTTCAATTTCAAAATTATTTGCAAGCACAGCCTACTTCTAAAAATTATCGAGATACTGACTTTTTAACGTTATTTTATCAGTTTTTTTATTCAAAAAGCAAAAAATTGCACTAAGAAAAAATTTTCGGTCATTTTAATACACTACAGGTACAGTAGAGAGCGCCCTCTAGCGGCTACAGTAAAACTATGCCTATGGTTCGTTTTGTCGTTTACATCAAATATTGTTCGAAATATTTAAAAAAACTATTTTAGAAAGTAAATTTAAACACCCTGTATTTCGGAAGCCACGCATTTTTCGACCCATGTTTATATAGACTTTATGCATTACTTTTAAAAGTTCTATCGAATCTTAAAGTTATGCAACAATAAACTGAAACACCCTGTATATGCACCAAAGCATCAATTTTAAATCCACTAACTACAAAAATAATATTACAGGCCTTATCTGCTTTGCCTGAAATCACATTTTGAATAAATGCTTTCTGGTTATTGGCACCAAATTTAACAACTAATTTATGACAGTTTGCAAAAATTTCATATCTACAGTTGTCATATCGACAACACTATTAGCACGTCAAGAACAGCATGCATTCAATCCCTAAATTTTTGTCAGTCGTGTAGTGAGTGACATAAACTTTGAAGGCAATCACAACATATAAATGCTGTTCTTATTATATATGCAGAAGACATTCACAATTTAGAAAGTAATCGATGTTAATGAGTTATTTTAACATTTAAAGGTGGAGTTGCTGCTGACTGGATCATCATACTAGTCTAAATCCAAGTGTCTGACTACTGGAATGGCGTGGATGTTATCAATCTATATTTTTCTGTCTACCCATACCTAAAGACAAACAAACTTCTCTCTCTGAATTTGTCAAACCAAAATACGACTGAAGCCCCTGCCACTGGGTGGACAACAAAATATACAAAATAATGTAGATTATGGCCTGTGATATTGTGTCTGATTACTGGAATGAACAAATTTTCATTGCATCTCAATTACTGGCCACTATCATTTGCTTGAATTTGTAAACAGTGCATAACTGGTTAAAGGAAAAAATTTGTTTCTTGTTCATTTTTATATAGTTGGAATGTATTTTTGATCAAAATATCTATATTAAATAGATTCAGTATGAGTGTGTTTCATTCCTTTTCCTCAAAGCCTTAATGGCAACTAATTTGTAAATTTCTATTCTACTATATCACAAATTTTTAAATACATTTCTGCCAATCAAATGCTGTCTGACCATTATTGGAAACTAGCCTGCTGACTAGTAGCACCTTTTGCCCCAGTACTGGCAAAACAGCACCTTTTTAACTAATATTTTATTATTTAATTACAGGAATATCTATAAGTAATGTATTTCTGTCAGCGAAAAGGTAACAAGATATTATATGATCATCTCCGAAAACAGTTTTGTTGAACACAAAATTTGTAATTACACAATGTATTTCATTTTTGTCTAAACTGTCGAACCACTATATTCACTCTATCTTAAAAATTTTGAAGGATTAAATCAGGTGGCATCTACTGTATGTATTTTTTTACAGTGAAGTCAATTGAATTCAAATGAATTGAGTTTATTTGTCAGCGCTGAGAGTCTGTTAGCTTCTCAATTTGGGTTAGAGAGGTACCAGATAAATTCAAATGGAAAAAAGGAGACAAAACCAGACAACACCACAGCTTAACAAAGAACTAGTTTTGATTCACCAAAAGACTCAATTTGATTGCAATGTAAGCAGCAGTTTGGTATAGTGAGCAACAAATTCCATTTGCATTAAACTATGTTCCAAGTAACATCTCACAAGGACTGTATGAAAATGAAACCACTAACATGTTTTCTAATCTATATAATGACGTAACTTCAACCCTTTAAGAATTAATTACGCACGCCAATGTTCACTTGTCAATGACAAATGACACATCAGTTTTGCTGGAGGTTATTGAGAAATTGCATCATTTTACTGAAAAAATGAAGTACTTTCGGATTGACACAAATAAAACTAGGTTTACATACCTCCTCCGCATTTGGTAGAACAAGTTCGAGCTTGAATTCTTGCTTGTTTGAATAGTAAAAAAGAGGTATTTTGGATCTTTCGAAGGCCACCGAAAATCACATTTTTAAAACAAAACACTGACGCCATTTGTAAACAGTGCTGCCGGTGTCCTAGATAAGAGCGATATCACTGAATAAGAATTTCTATACTGGATTATTGTGCATATCACTATTTCATGTAGTGTTTACAAAATATGAAATCCATTTTAATAACCGGATGTAACCGTGGGTTAGGGTTAGGTTTTGTTAAGGCTTTGGTGAGAGACAGAAATCCCCCAAACCAAATTATTGCCACTTGCCGGAATTTGGACAATGCAAAGGTAGGTTAGATTTTAGGTTAGCTAGTTCACACCTTAAAATCAGCTTTCACTTACCAACTGGAGCCATTTTCTGTGTGTATTGTATATCCACTTGCAGCACTTTAAATAACGATCACGTAAAGCTATAATTAATACCAAAATAGTATGATTTATCACAGATCACCGAGTGTTTTCCGGAACCAAGCCGCGTAGAATTCCTAGAAAGCACAAATGCGCGAGCGCCAAATTTGATTTAGGATTTTACTATTCACTTTTCATTTATATTATCCCTACCTTTAGATTTTAGATCGTACTGTTCTCGGGAATTATAAACCTGCTAGTCATGCCATTGATAATTAATTTTGCCGTGTGTAAAGGATATATGGTATGACGTCAGAAACAGAAGTAGCTATATCTTCAAATCTGTTAATCTATACGCTGATTTCTAGTGTGAGATTAGAGGAATGATTCTAGAATCCAATGCAGCATGACTAGAATAAAATAAATACTGGGTATATAAATACTTGTACTTAATTTGTGATGGGCTTATAGATATAGGTATAAATACCTACATATTAAATTTCACTGCATTTTCTTTTTTCCAAAAGAAATTATATCAGAGCTAAGTTTAGGCTATTAAAAAATATTTCAGAGCTCATATTTACCGGAAATACTGTCTGAAAATAAATAAATAGTGTGGATAATTGGGTGGGCCCTAATAGTGAGATTTGTCGACAGATATGGCAACATTGAGGCCTCGGAGTCGTCCGGGAGGTTGCAATTGCAATTGGCAATACTGGCAATTCCAGTGGTGTACGGATATAACATATAACTTACAGAAATATCTGTAATGTAAAAAAATAAAACATGTAGACTTTACAAGGATTTGAATCCATGATTCACTCGTAACTCTTTTTGGCCCAGAAGTCCATAATGAGGCCATGTATCATGAAATGTGACAACCGTTAAATCTACTCAAGAATTTTTTGAAGATATACCTAGGATACGCTACTATTGGAGATATTATTTGGTTATATAGCAAAAACTTACATTTTACAAGTTTTTGGGGCACCGGGCACGTATCTTTCTGTACATTACTGAGCATAAGTAAAATCTTTATCTGCAGCCACATCGACTTAACATAACCTGAAAGTATACAACATGCAGGCAAGCATTCATAAATGGTGAATGTTCAACTATTCATTGTCCATTTATTTACGTATGGCTATCAAATCTGATAAACGATGAACTTATATGTGCCTCTGAAGACAAAAGGATACAAAGATAACCTTTTTAACAACCTACTGTGGGAATTCCGTTGCAACTTAAGAGTTTTGTGCGTCCTGAGGCAATGAATAAAATATGCGCCCTCCTCTCGCGTTGTGATATTGCAAAAAATAAAATGTTCTCTCTTTTGAGTTGTGATAGAGGTAACCACATTACGGCATGCATAACGTCATCAGCTATCATGCAAACTCATGCATCAAAAATGTGCGTGGATGCGTGACGTGACAGTTGTATCGGTGCAGTAGATACTACGTTCTTTGCGTAAGTGAAGTTCCACATTTTGTGAGCACACTAACTTATAGTTTGTGAGTTCATGTGACGTGACAATAATGTGGACCCAGCTTTATCAACACAATCTTTTGCACATATTTTATGCAAAATAACAGCGACGGCTATATTGTCTATATAACTGTCTAAAATATTATTTTTTTCACATTTATTTAGGTATATTCGGGATCAGCACTAAGATTGTCAAAATTTGGACACGAAATACACTTAAACCAATTTAAAAATGAAACTTCTTATGCTGCGTATCCTTCCCCTACTTTTTCCTACGGATCAGTTCGAGAATCTTCTACTTTTTACGTACATTTTATGTCTAATTCTAAATCTGTATTAACCTTTTGCGGCTAGGTTTGTCTTTTTATGATATTGTTCATTTTATATTACAGATAAATTAGTAGGTACTAGCGAATATAAATAAATGATCCTTAAAATAGCATAATATGTTATCACCAATATTACATAGCAGTTCATCGTATGTAGTGTAAATGGCAACACTGCCTTGGCGATGCCTATCTAATGAAGACATTCGACCTGTAACTTGACTCCGTAACCTCTGATTTGCCAAAGCACACACATCAGCAGCATTCGGCAGGAGTATGACGTATTTTGAGAAGTGATATATAGATTTTTCGTGACATTATATCGGTTTTTTTAACAAGATGTCAACATATCACTAGCTCTTGTATACTTGTGTACTCGATCCGTAGCTGTACGTGCTGCCTAAACGCGATGATGCTTCAGCTGTCAATGTTTGGCTCTGCTAGAGCTGGAAGCAAACGGCAGTGCATAGGTGGATATGTAATACTTATTTATTTATGATAATTCCGTTGGCTTCTTGTCTCAAATACACTTACTTGGGATGTATGCATTTACTTTTTCTCATTTATCCTGGAAATTAGTTATGCAGACAAAGAGAGCGATAAGAAAAGAAAATCCTTGGTTGGTGAAGTATATTAAAACTTACAGGTGAAAAAATATGGCACATACAGGGATATTTATGAAACATAAAAAAGACATTACATTTCACATTAATTCTGTGGTGTGGCTTGATTACACACAACGCAGGTGCGGTGCTGATTTCCCGTAATGCTTCTCAAAGTTTTTCAAAACGCAAAGATCGTATTGCAGATATATTTCATCGGCAGCGTATTCACTGATTACACAATCATCCAGATGTAATCTTGCTACTCTGCTACTCAACCACACATCTCAGAGTATACTATACAATATGTACATTCTGCAACCAACAAAGCATGGGGAACTGGCTTGCAGCATGATCATTGGGCATGTCGTGTCTTTGAGTCATTTCTCCATAGATGGACGCTTTGATCATGCTCATAGCGAGAAAACGCTGAATGTACTATTTGCACACTAGAAATTAGCTAGGCAGCAAGTTGACATTTTGTCGTTCTTTTTTTACCTTTTTTGTAGGTTTTTACCTAGTAGCTCTGTCGGTCCCACCATTTACACTCCTTGTGATGGCTCAGCTGTGTTATACTCGTTGTAGCATATAATATTGTTATCCTGGAAGATATGCTTTTTCCGGGAAATTATAGCGAGCTCTTATATCAATGTATGTCAAAAAGGAAGGTTATTTTTTGCACTATACTTATACCAAGATAAAAATGAATTGTGATAGCCTTGTTAAGCTCAAATGAGTGAGCAGTTCAAACGTCCCATTATTTAATGAAATTCAGCAAAACCACCTTTGCTGTGGCTGATTCAAAGTCCCACAACACATCAGGTTGAACGGTTTCATAATATGCGTGTGATTAAATCTACTGGTCCCACCAGTTGGACTATTTTATGAGCTATCATTGCTGATAAACAACCTAAATCATAGGCAACCAGTAATTATCGTGGCAATGTCAGAATACTATGAGCTATCATTGCTGATAAACAACCTAAATCATAGGCAACCATTAATTATCGTGGCAATGTCAGAATACAATCAGGAGCCAAATAAATAGACTATGAATTTGTGGTAATCCTAGAAGACCAGTAGGCCGCAAAGGGTCAATATGAGGAAAGCATTGAACCATTATCATACTGACATTATTTTTACATTTACAGGAACTGCAAGAGATTGCTAATGAAAACAAAAACGTTCACATTATATTATTAGGTAAATTATGTTACTTTTTGCTTTACAACTAACTCAATTACAACCGTAATTTGTAGACAATGCGGAGGTTTCAAAAGTTTTATTTCGGACTTCTATTTTCTATACAATTTTTGAGACACGACGTTTCATACCACATCGATCAAAACGTCGCGATCTAATAAATTGTGTAGATAACGGAAGTCCAAAATAAAATGTTTGATACTTAATTACATATTTACCTTTTCTAAAATACAGATGTCACACAGACTGAAACATTCCCGAACTTCGCCAGCCAGGTGGAAGAAATCGTAAAAGACGATGGGTTGAACGTGCTATTCAACAATGCAGGTTGTTCTCCAAAGTCGACCAGAATCAACTTTGTAAACACTGAACAATTGGTAGATACGTATCTTGTCAACACTGTTGCCCCCATTCTGTTGACCAAAGTAAGTCGATGAAACTCACTTCCAATACATGCCATACTGGGATCAACGTAAACTGGAATTTTTAGCTATTACGAGACTGTTTGCTAAGTACAAAAAATTCTGCATAGGAACGTACAGAATGCGTACATCTTTCGAACGAAAAATTTTTCTTTGCAGGCTTTATTACCAGTACTTAAAAAGGCATCTGAAGTAAACAAGGATCTGCCACTAGGTAGCAGCAGATCGGCTATCATAAACATGTCATCCATTCTAGGATCAATCAGTGCAAATGATAATGGAGGGTTGTATCCTTATAGGTGTTCCAAGGTAAGAACTAAAAGCTGCTTGATTTCATGTGAGACTTTCATTTGCCCTGCGTTTATTCATTCAATCTTCCCTAAGGGCAAAGGTCTGATACGCTATCCTGACAAAACATCCTCACCAACGTATTTCAGCTGTTCGTCAGTAATCAAAACATCCGCGTCTATACTAATAAGTTTGTTTTAAGAGAATTTGGCCTTACTACCAACTCATTTCCAATTTCAAATTTGAAAATATTTGCCTATAATTTGGTATCGTATTAAGATCTGACCCATTACGTCGTGTAACAGCAGACCAGAGGCATTCTATTTGCCGGAAGCGGAGTACATAGTGGGGGAACTGAATCGTTCGTCTCGCACGCGGGGGTAAAAAGCGAAATATAATTGGATAGAGAGTTACATATAGCATAGGGAAATAATCAGCTAATAACTCATTATGACGGGAACTGTCTGCTCATCTCGCCGTGCTTCCTGCCATTTTGGATTAGAATCGACCACCCCCTTGTTTCTAATACAAAAGCCATAGGAAGCCCCGATCCTAGTGCGCAATGGAATAATGAAATATTTCATCTTAATTTCGTATTACGTTTTTGCAGGCTGCCTTAAACATGGCAACAAAGTCACTAAGCATCGATCTACAAAAAGACGGCATTCTAGTCACTGCGCTTCATCCTGGTTGGGTGAAGACGAATTTGGGTGGTCCTGGAGCACCAATGGAAGTAGAGAGTAGCGTTAAGGGTTGTATGGAAGTCATAAGGCACCTTTCTGAAAAGCACAACGGCGCTCTGTATCAGTGGGATGGTAAAAAGCTAGAGTGGTAGTTCCATAACTGGTCTCAATATTGTACTTAGCTATATGAATGTAAAAATTGTATATGAAATAATAAACATTTCTGCTACTTCCTACACGCCAAACGGATGTGACTAGTTGATATGATAGCCATACTATGTCATTGTCAGTTGTTGAATTTTCTGGATCAACAGCGAAGACAGTGCTTAAATACATAAATGAGAACCACAGATATATGTGTCGGAAATTAGGCAAAAAGATCGGCATGAGTAGTCATGTAAAAAACCTATGAAACGTCAAAAAAAACCTATAAGATATCTTGCAAACTTTTTAGAGCGCAGTCATACCACGTTTGCCGACTAGGGTCGTTGTGAACGTCCATCTAAGGAGGAATCACTCAACTAAACTACACGCATTATTGGTTGCATATGTTTTGTGAGGCCAAATGGTCCTTGTCTGTAGTTCTTATCTCTGAGAAGAAAGTTGGTTGAATAGCAAGATCACATCGGGACGATTATGTATATTGGTCTGCATGTGTATAAAATCAGTGATATTTGCTGTGTGAGAAAATCATTACTGACTATGCTGCCAGTGAAGTATATCTATTGACTGTGGCAGTCGGGTTATTTTTATGTTGTGCTTCCTGAAGGGAGGTTATGTTCAAAGTTATAAATACGAAAAACTGAGGAGAGTTACGGGAAATCATCACCGCGCCCGCGTTGTGTGTAATTACTGTTAGCATGGATATGACTTGTAATTCGACAGTGTACAGTGAATATAATTATTTCTTATCTCTCTCACTTTTGAAATTCAGCAATTTTGTATATATAATTTCCAGAATGGATAAGAAAAAGTGGAGGCGCAACTAATTTCTAGCTTTGGATCTCAATTAAGTGTACCTAGGTATTTGAGACAAGAACCCAATGTAATTATCATCAACACATACAACTTACAGCTTAGGCCTCCAGTAATGCCATCTCAGAAGCAGATTTTACCTCACATCAGAGCCAAAGATTGATAACAAGCCTCATGACGCTTAGGCAACACGTACAACTAAGTGCTAAGTTAATATCTTGTAGAAAAAACTATATAATATAAAAAAAAACAGCATAATAATAATTAACGTCTTTTATTTGTAATATTCTTACAAGATGCGAGATTTAGATAATATATCAACCCCCTTAACAATACGAGATGTAAAAAAAAACAGAATTTGTTGAAAATTAATACTTGTATACAATAACGATAGAATAAAGTATAATCTAAGTAAAGCCATAAGGGAAATATGAGGCCACTTATGGGTTACAATAGATTTCGCTGCTGATCAAGTAGAACTTCTTTCACTGTTTTCTTGAATTTGGGTAACGGATTAGTTTACTTTTAAACTGTAGTCTAAAGAATTATATGACTTGATCGCATTGTAAATATATGTATTCTGAAATAGAGATGTGCTGTGTCGTGGAATTGAAAAAGTCTCTCTATATCTAATATTAATGCCATGCATATTCAATCTACGTATGAATTTGTTTACTAAATATGACGATGTTTTTGAATAAGAAACCTTATTCGTCAGATTTAGGAGCTGGTACTATTTTATGAATTTTCATCCATTTGAGTTCATTAATGGTATTTATTCGATATATGATCATACTTTCTGAGACCATTTACAAGTCTGTAACATGTATTCATAATACTTTGAATACGATTTCTTGTTATAATATCTACATAGGGATAGCAATACGATATCTTTGTAAACAAGAAAGAATCACACAATTATTTTCTCGCAGATTTATGTAATACATATTATTTGCAAATAAAACTCAGAATAGCGTAGCACTGAGAAATTAGATAGTTTACGTGTACAACAAATTTTAAGTCATCATCCATTATAACACCTAGGTTCTTGGAATGATCCACAGGAACTAATTTATTACCTTTTAAATGTATGTCTATGTCCTTTTTTGAAGTATTCTTTTTTGTTATCTTTGCGTATACCAACATATTTGTTTTCAAAGGGTTCAAACGAAGATCATGACTACTAGTGAACTTTTAAATTTGGGCAAGATCTTGATTAATTTTATTATTTGCTGTTTCCAAGTCATTATTCGTAAATGAATAGAAAATTAGAGTATCGTCTGCAAAAAATTGTATGCTGCATGATTTTACCTGCTTCTAAATCTGAGATATATAATGAAAATAAAAGGGGTCCTAAGACTGATCCCTGTGGTACACCAGAACAATTTTTTTTGTGCTAGAGTACTGTTGATTTAGACTAACTTTTTGATACCGATTTACAAGGTAGGTTTGAATAAGCGAAAGAGCTTTTTCGGAAAATCCATAATAGCTGCATTTAGACACAAGAAGTGAGCGATTAATGGTGTCAAATGCTTTAGTAAAGTCAAGAAGTATGAGAGCTACTGCTTTTTGGCTATCAAGTGCCATTGTTATATTGTCTGTTAAACCACAGAGTGCCGACCTTGTCGAAATGTCAAAAAAAAAATCGGCATAATGTCACTTGTGCCGGTATATTCGTAGAATTTGTGACAATCTAAGTTCCTGGTGCAGAAGGGTAGCCTACAAAAGAATAATTTTTCCTCATTTTAAGAACAGGGTGTCCAGTGGGAAAGTTCACTTTTTGATTTAAGAAAAAAATACAAACTTAATGACAAGAAAATATTTATTACTATCAAGTTTGGCGGGCTTTATTTCTTGAATATCATTCCGTCCAAATGTTTGCCATCTCTTCGGACACACTCTTGTAATCGCGCGCCCAAATTCTGAAACAGTCTTGCAGAGTTCCGGAGTGATGATGTTTATTTCTCGTCGAATGTTGTCTTTAAGCTCCTCCAGTGTTCGTGGATTATTGGAATACACTTTTGACTTTAGATAACCCCAGAAAAAATAATCGCATGGCGTGAGATTGAGTGACCACGGCCAGTGAATGTCTCTAAACTTCGATATAACTTTCTGAGGAAAAAGTGCGTTCACCGTGTCCATCGATCCTCTGGAAGTATGGGCAGTGGTCGTATCCTGTTGAAACCATGTGTTTCTGTTAAACTGACGTTCTATACTTACAATAGGAGCAAAAAAAAGTGTCAATCATGCTCTTGTACAAGATTGTTGCCTCCCCAAGCAGTGATAACCTCAAGGTCTCTGATCAGGAAGTCGTCGCCAGTCTGCTTTTTTCCAGCTCATCGGCTTGTCACTGAATTCCTGCATGTAGAGTGCTGTCATCAGCAAAGCTGTGGATTGGGTTAATCGTTCAGGAAAGGAGGTCGGTGATATGTGAGAGGAACAGTGTCGGAGCCAAGATCGATCCCTGGGGAACACACGCGTTGGCGTGGGATGAAGAGGCGAACCCATCAATTACGACGGATATCTTGTGACCAGAGGGAAAGTCAGCCAACCATCTGCAAAGCTTTTCTGGGAGGCCATACGATGGAAGTTTGCATAAGAGGGCAGCGTGCCACAGCTGATCGAACGCTTTTGTGATATCAAGAGCAACGACATGAACCCCACCATAAGACTGGATGAGTTTACTCCACAATTGCGTGACGTAAGCTAGGAGGTCCCCTGTGGATCGCTGGTGCCAGAAACGATTCTGCCGTGACGGTCGGGGTAGTCCAGAAGCTCTATATTAATCACCTTACGTATAACAAAAAGCAGAGCTATAGGCCTGTAGTTGCAAGTGTCGGACTTGGATCCTTTTTTTGGGATAGGCTGAACGTGAGCAAATTTCCAGTTTTCTGGGAAGGTGTCGGATTCATAAGATATCTGGAAATGTGAAAAAACTTGAGCAAGCTCCGCTGCCCACCTCTTCAGTACAATGGCAGGAGTCAGGTCCAGAATAGAAGCTTTGTTGATGCCGAGCCACAAGAGCACCCGTCTTATTCCTATTACTTCCTTCATAGTGTAGGGAACCGTTTGAATCGACGGCACTTTGGCGTTCGGGGAGACGTTTATGGTGAAGTTGTCAGCAAAGATCTTGGCTAGCACTTCCGCCTTGGCTCTTGAGCCTGTTACAAACGTTCCATCCTGACACGTAAGTGGTGGAAGGCTACTGTACTGCCATTGCGCTGCGCTGCGTTGGAGGTAAATATCAGTCTTTTTGGTTTGAATTTTACAGCCAAAGAGTCCATGATTTTCAACAATTAAACTTACAATCAGCGAACAGTACAAAATAATAATGAGAAAATGGCAAAGGAAACAACTTTCCGTATATATTTCTTTTATCTGCGAAAACTACTATAAAAAGTAAGGTTATTCGCACAAAAAGGACGCGTCATGCAATAGTCGCAGATACTACTTTATTAATTGCAAGTCCTATTTTTTTTTTTACTGCGTCTGCTCAGGTGTCAAATCCGGCCAGGAATTATTAGTGCCTGACTTTATTGGACGTTCAATAACTCCCTATTATGTATCTTTTTTACTTTTTTTTAGTGTTTTTACATAATACCCCTGCTGAGCTCTGAACCATATGGACACTATATCAACGTTTTATTCGTTTAAAATATATGCTAATTAAACAGCAGATAATACTAAAATAAAGCAAACATTCTCCTATTCACTGAATTTTATTACAAGTTTTTACATCCTAAAATGTACATTTTATTTTAAATTTGATAGACACAGATACAGGATGTTCCAAAATATCACAATTGCATAATATTTCAAGATTCAAAGCAGTCATCCAAAGCTGATGCCTCTACTTCCTAAAGAACGGATTTTTCAGTTCACTGAACGTTTCATTCTTATACATGTTAAAATTTATATGAACGGGATTTGCAGGACAGTTTTCTTGGGACACCCTATGTAACTACGCTAAGCTAAATACCACATAAAGAAACACTACAAAACGACAAATAAAAGGTAGTAATATCTATAGGTAAATACATGAATGAAATACATTTATAAAAATATATAATAACGTGGTTCATCATGAACCAGCATGTGTATAATGACAAAATTCATACTAGATTTTTCGAGGTGCCAGTATTTGTAAGGGTTGAGAAACATTCATTTTTCATTGAACGTCATTTATTTGCTTTTACAGGATTGAAATTTAAATACAAATAGAGACATCAAATCGTTAAAAATAGGTGATAAATTGAAACATTGAAAACTATCTGATCTAGCACACAACTAATGTCGAATTTTCAAACCTTACTGAGTGACATCCCTTCCCTTGAATATCAATCTTCGGAAAAAATAATTCAGGAAATATATAGAAATTGATACCATGAAATTGATACCATGAAAAAAATAAAAGCTCTAATATAAAAAATGGCGTCAAGTAGATTGACTGCATTTGACACGCAACGCCGTCATCAGTTCATAAAGGATCATGTTCAGCACAAGAGAGATCCTGGCAGAAAAAAGTTAGTTATAAACATGTATAATAGGGAAATTAAATAGATCAAGTCAGTCAAACAGTTGGTCCATAGACATCCTTTCCCTCCCCTACTAGTCCATCTGATAACGTCCCCTCTCTTAACAGAAGCAGTGACGCGAATCGGAAGCATTTATCTATAATCCTAAGGGCAAATGTACGGAGAAATCTACGTGTGAAATATGCCTAATAGGTGGGTACAACTACCGAAGTTGGGAGCATATAAACATACTAACATCAAAACAATTGAGATAACCCTCCCCCACTCTCCATTTTTACCCCTAAAATTGTTTTCAAAAATAATCGGGATCCTCTGAAATGCCAAGTTTGGCCGACTTTTATTTTTTTCGTTTTTGGCTTTTGGCCTTTGTTCCGCCGCCACTGGACCGATTTTCAAAAACTACAACGCTTTCGTCCTTGGCATAATGCTAACCTTGTGTGGAAATTTCATCAAAATCCGACGAAAATGGGTGACGTTTTTTCGTGATATACATGTCATATAACATCTAAAAATAATTTCATAGAGTACAGGATGTTAAAGGCCCGTAGAACAGATTTGCCAGTGCCGTTCATTGCAGTAAGTACAGCAGAAATTATTAATAAAGTTTAATAATATCAACAAAATCATAATACAATTTAGAATCAGGTGAAAAACAAATAATCTCTAATGAAGCGTATTTTTGGACGAATGTCTATGTCAACAAGCAAAATTATCGTTTTGAGGTTCAGGGAATCCCAAAGGGTGTAGTGGCAATGTCTCTATCCTTTAACAGCATGGACAGCTGTCTCAATGAAAGGAATCTACCTGCATTTTACCATGTATTAAGTTTGCAATAACAAAATGATATTGGAGATAATGGTCAATATATTACTCAGAAAATGAATTTAAGAGTAACTGACTCTACAATTCATTGACATGTGATCAATCAATCTCTATGTCAGAAAATGATACATTTTGGCAATTTTCATACTCAAATGCTAGTCATGCTTTCTGTCATGTTCATGTTTAACGTTCAGAAAACGCAATTTAACAACGAGAATTACAGATCCGTAATATAAATCAGAAGAAATTGAAAAACCTACTAACACTGCAGCTTTTTTGGTGTTTGCTTATATACTAATTTTGGTCAAGTGTATACTAGAAGAAACTATGCAAGTAGTGCTTGCCTTGTTACTCTTTGAAAAATTATACAGGGTGGACAGTTTATCAAGAGTGAAACATGTTGTGGATCAGAAACGAATGTATATTTGACAATACCTCAGATATATTGGCGTTGCAAAATATCCAGAAAAATGATAATTTCATGTCCATAGCAATCATTAACAGTGTTTAAGCCAGCCATTTGACTGTGCAATGAAATGTTGAAATTTAAATATGTCAAATGGGTTTGATTGACACATAATTTTCAATAAAAAATAATAAAACAGTACCAACAAAAAATAAAGGCATAAAAAGGTTGAGGTATAAGATAGTAAGAGTGTAAACTGTATCCTCTATGTACTACATTGAAAATAATCGTGTTCCTCATCTTCGGAAACCCCAGATTATCAATATTTACATTATAAATATAGCAGCAGTCATAGAGAAAAAAATAAACTTCAACGCCCTATATCTCATTATCCAGGATATTTCACTAAGGCATACCACCCTGTATATGAAAGAAACTTGAAATCACAATTTTTAGATCTGCACTGTTCTGTGTTGAAATTAAATACATGGACACAAACTAAAAAATGCACCATGTTAGTAGTATGAATGGAGCCGATTTTTTTGCGTTATTCATTATACCTTTTTAGAAGATTTAATACTGTTTTTTTCTAGTCCTGAAGCAATTTGAGAAAGTAAAAGTGTTACTTCTTGACAACAACTTACACCTGTGGGTCATATGTTGGATAATTGTGTAATTTCAATTCTAGATCTGTCACTAATAAGGTTGTCTATACCAACATCACTTACACACTAGTATACATCTAACCAGAGAGCATCCACATTCGACTTGGTTACCAAGTGTTTTTTTTTTAAGTTACGCCTCCGATTCTCCAGGAGTATTCTCGTCCTCCAATATAGGTACAATGAGATTATCCTTGGACATGAGGTTGTATTTGGTAACAAAGTGTGTGAATCGCTTGCACAGGCACGTCTCGTTTTCGAATTCATCAAAAATCTGACGATGATGAAAGTATGCGTGCGAGAAGATCCGATAGACTCGTCTGCATACTGAGCCTAATTTTGCTACTGATGATTCCTTAATGCTAACACTGGAAATGAAAAATTACTCTATTCAGAACAAAACTAGTTCAGAACAAACGTACTCAAATCTACACTATAACTAGACGCTTTAGAATAAGGTCCAGAGTTTGTCAATTAAATGAAAAATAAATTAATCTTAATCTTTGAATTTTATTCAGTTATTTCTTTTTTACATTTCACTATGATATTATTTATATTTAAATAAAAAAACATTTCAGATGATGACAGTGTATTAATATTCTGATAAGTATGCAAAGTACCGCTAGCAATGCCTTCAACATTTTATCAGCATAATACTTCCATGATAGCAAATATGTTTACAAGTTTCTATCAAAATTCAATAATTAATTCTGGGTGTTGCATTTTATGTCATCTAGTATGTTTTTTGAAATAAACAGTATTATGACTAAGCCACTTACCGACTAGGAAAATATTTATTGCTATTTAAAAGACAGGCTGCACCATCCAAAGTATGTCTGGTGTAATCAATAGCTGGGCATTCCTTTGGAGTTTTGTGAGCAGCACAAAGAAATATCCATTGCTCTGTGGCAGTCATCTGGGTACATGTCTCTGGATGACATTCTCCTTGCAGCCTCACAGCCAGACCATTCAGTTCCATGCAAAATTGCCTGAAAATTGGAAAATAGGTACACCCAAAATTTTAAGAAAATTCATTGAAAATGCAACTTGCTGGCCATTCTTTACTAATGAGGTGTTTTTTCAAATTACTTAAAAAAAAAGTATTCTGTTTTCATTGTGCAGTGTATATTTCATTTCAATATTGTTACTTAACTTCATCCTTCTATTGTGTAACATGCATAGACATAGGACAAGTCTAATGAATTATCACACTTTTTTATAGTTCCAAAGATGAATAAAGGATTATTATTAGCATTATTATGATGTATTTCTATGAATGAAAAAAACTGGCTCTTCAAGTACAAAATTCAAGTAAGACCCCATTTTGCCATGGAAATTGAGCCTCTGTTAGATGTGGGAAAAATAACATTTGTTTTTTGATTGCAGAAGTTTGGCATGAAATTTCTGGTCATGTTCTCTTGACAATAAATATAAAGGATATGATTGAACGAATTTCAAAATATGTTTTTAACATAATACAGGCAAAAAGGTGAGGATAAAGAATGCAAACCTTGAAAAATGAATGTAAACAATCTATTTCAGCTATGAAAAAATAATTTTGTCTAGGAAGAGTAGAGTCAAGAACAGATTTGGTGGAGGGCGAGGGGGACAGGACATTTGAAATAATAAAAATGTATAAGGCCCCAGGACTGCCAAAAGTTCCTTTTTTTCTCAAAGACAAAATGCAGTAATGTTTATATGTACTTCCATGTCTGCATATATGCTACTTAAATTTAATGAAAAAGTTGAAAAAACACCTTTATTTATAACTAAAAAACACATGTAAGGTGATACATAATTGAAGTCGTAGAAAAAGCTGCTATTAGATACAGTGTAGCACTTTTTTAATAACACCATCATGTAGTGCCTAAATGGTGCCATTAGTTTTGTGACATTTGTTAAAATACAGTCAGACAAAAATAAAAACGACTTGGCCAAATTTTAGTTTTTCCCAAATATCTCAGTATATGACTAATTTCTCAGTGTATGCAATGTGCGCAATTTATTTAAAAAAAAAACATAGGATGTAGCAACCCTAACATACAAGTAGATGAGTATGCAAGGCTCACCTAGTTTCCTGCACAGATACCCTGTTTCCCTCAGACGAGTTGGAAGTAGACCTAATTTCCACTTTGGAGACACTTGACACCCACGTCACCACTGAGAGACAATCAATAACCCTATAGTAACACCACTACTGAAAAAAATTAGCTAAACCGAATAGAGCTCTGTACGGAGCTGTGAACGGGTAGACATTCCGCTGCGCCGACGGTTGCCGAGAGACTGAAGTGTGCGAGTCCTGTACCTCGCTGTGGCGATACGGTACGGCCGTGTAGTACAGCCACGCCCCTTTCCAGCTCCCACTCCGCGCGTCTGCTCCCGAAGCGACTCGATGTTTACGTTGCCGGTAGCAGACGCGCGGAGTGGGAGCTCGAAACGGGCGTGGCTGTACTACCCGACCGCACCGTCGTCGCAGCGAGGTACAGCACTCACACGCTTCAGTCTCTCGGCAAACGTTGGCGCAGCGGAATGTCTAGCTGTTCATAGATCCCTATTCGGTTTAGCTACTTTTTTTCAGTAGTGGTGTTCACTATAGGGTTCTCGATTGTCTCTTAGTATTGCTTTGGTGTTTTAGTGTTGTGTCGTGGGTTTTAAGTGTCTCCAAAGTGAAAATTAGGTATACCTCCAACTCTTCTGAGGGAAACAGGATATCTGCGCAACAAACGAGGTGAGTCTTGCATTCTCATATAGTTGTGTTGGCGTTGACATCGTATGTTTTGTTTTTTAAATAAATTGCGCACATTGCATACATTGAGAGATTAGTCGCATATTCAGATATATCTCAATCGCCTGATCAATATTAGTCAAAGAATCACTTCCAAAGCGACTCATTTTCACTACATAAGCCGACTAGCACTGTTTAAAAACAATATTACAAAAATTAGCTTAGCAGCGTTTTATGCTGTCCTAGGAGGCCATAATTGATTGTTATCAAAGGTATTGTAATTTTTGGTGACAACAGCTGACTATTAATTACTAGAGAAAATGAAAGACTTACTTCTCTTATTAATGTAATTTTAGGTCAAATACTTAATAAATATATTTATATATATATTTCAATTCAACTTCGGATTTCACTGTTTTTTCACTTGAAACTTATAACATAAAAAGTGTGAATGAAGCACGCTTTTCCTGAACTTTTTTTTCCCAAAACACTGTATTTTTTAGCAGTTATTTCCCCCAAAATTGCCCGACGAGCTAGCAATGCAGCAATCTAGAATGACAAGGTCAATGTATATAATAATAATAATAAATCCCTTTATTCCCAAACAGTTCTCAAAAAATATGTATATATATATATACAGGGTGACTTCGAAGTTGAGTCATTTATTTTAACAGTGAGTAGAATGTTTTTTCCTTTACCATTTTTCTGGAAAAATTAAAGTAACAAAGTTATAGCCCTTTGGAAGTTTGAGTACCGCCCTATCTCAATAATAATATTATGTGCTCGTGTTTGGCGACAACGGATATAATTCGCCTTATCGGTTCATCGCATCGGAAACAAAAAAGCGAACCAACCACCACCAACTTTATCACTCCCTAATCAAATTTGCAGCATAAAAATAACACATGTTGCAATTACAGCATATCGACCTATTTTCATTTCAATGCAAAATAAGTCTATAACGCATAGGTGGCTGTGAAAAATAAAAGCCATGACAATTGTTTTTATTAATCACAGCTGTCAGAATATGTTTGAAATAGTTTTGTGTAGTTAAGGTTTTCAAAATGGGTAGAGGAAAGGTTATTAGTGAGAAAATTCGGTTACTGATAATTAAATTTTTTAATTCTGGGAAATCAAATTCAGAAATTGCAACTTTGTTAGACTTATCGCGGTACAGTGTGAGAAATATTGTTAGAAGATATAACTTAACTGGTTTAGTTAATATTAAGCCATGATTTGTGAAAAAAAGTAATATCACAAATGCCGACCGCAGAGCATTAAGCAGAATAATCGTGAAAAACAGGCGTGCCAATTATTTACAATTAAGTGCTCTGTGGAGTGACGCTGTTGGAAGGAGAATTTCGAGGTCCCCAATTCATAGAGAGACCCACAAACTGGGATTTAGCACTTGCAAGGGAAGTTTTCTTATAAAAAAAAGTGAAGTAAAAACCCTAAAGTTGCACAACTTGTTTATAGGCCAAAGAAAAGCCACTATTAACTCCACTGCAAAAGAAAAATCGGCTAAGATGGGATAAAGAACATAGACAATGGATACCTCAACAATGGAGTGATGAGGCCCGATTCGAAGTTTGTGTTGGTGAGAGTCGCAATAGAGTTATTCGAAAAAAAAATGAAGCATTCCATGTTGACTGTCTGAAGAGAAAAGTGAAATTTCCAGCATCCATTATTGTCTGGGGCAGTATGTCATCAAAAGGAGTAGGACAACTTCATTTTATTGATGGAAATGTGGATACAAACAAATGTTTGGAAATTTTAGAAGAATCGCTTTTACCAGTGATGGAAGAATGTTAGGCATCCGGCCAAGGTTTTGTGTTTCAGCAAGATGGTGCAGCGCGCCATACCTCAAAAAAGGCTATAAAATGGATGGAAGGAAATAATATACAACTTATGAAATGGGTTTCTAGCAGTCCAGATCTGTCACCTATTGAAACTTTGTGGCACGACATCCTGCTCGTACAATCAGCAAACTGAGACAAAAGCTTCAAGAAATATGGGATTGTTTTACACCAAATTGTTGACAAAACTTGGTAAACACTATGTCCCAATGAATTTCAGCCGTAATAAAAAATAAAGGTGATGTTATCCAATGGTAATCTGTCAATTGTTGCTTTGTTAACTTCGCACATATATTCACACATTGTTTATTTGTTCAAATGTTCTATTAGTTAATAGGTGTAAGTGATTTCAAATATGTATTTTTTACGGCTAGAGTGTATCTAAAATGTTTTTGAGAAAATAAATTGTTTTAGAAGTAAATAGTTTCGTCATGTTTAGTTTATAAAGGCATATTTTGGTACAAATCTTGAAGTAGGAAACATGAATATTAACAATTAAAAAAGAATAAAACAAATGTCAACTGTCTGAAACCCACAAGGGGGAGTTCACTATCTAGTGCTCTTCCACTCATCCTTTGAAATTGTAAGAAACATTATGCCAGTAAATACATCCATCAAGCATATACAAACATCAATATGAACACCATGTAAGTTTTTTAAAAATAAGATAGAAAAGTGAGAAGCGTGGTAGTAAATTTAAGAAAAAAAGAATGTCTAGAATACATACATACACACACATATATATATATACACATATATAAAGAAGTGCACTTTTCCCACAAGATACAATTAAAAAACTAAAATTTGTTGTCCAGGGTAATTAAAGTTTTTAATTCTGGGAAATCAAACTCAGGAATTGCAACTTTGTCAGACTTATCGCGGTACAGTGTGAGAAATATTGTTAGAATATATAACGTAACTGGTTCAGTTAATATTAAGCCACGATATGTGAAAAAAAAGTAATATCACAAATGCCGACCGAAGAGCATTAAAAAGAATAATCGTGAAAAACAGGCGAGCGAATTATTTACAATTAAGTGATCTGTGGATTGACGCTGTTGGAAGGAGAATTTCGAGGTCCACAACTCATAGAGAGGCCCACAAACTGGGATTTAGCACTTGCAAGGTAAGTTTTCTTATAAAAAAACGTGAAGTAAAAACCCTAAAGTTGCACAACTTGTTTATAAGCCAAAGAAAAGCCACTAGTAACTCCACTGCAAAAGAAAAATCGGCTTAGATGGGCTAAAGAACATAGACAATGGACACCTCAACAATGGTGTGCAATACAATGGAGTGATGAGGCCCGATTAGAAGTTTGTGTTGGTGACAGTCGCAGTAGAGTTATTCGCAAGAAAATGAAGCATTCCATGTTGACTGTCTGAAGATAAAAGTGAAATTTCCAGCATCCATTATGGTCTGGGGCAGTATGTCATCAAAAGGAGTAGGAAAACTTCATTTTATTGATGGAAATGTGGATACAAACAAACATTTGGCAATTTTAGAAGAATCGCTTTTACCAGTGATGGAAGAATGTTTGACATCCGGCCAAGATTTTGTGTTTCAGCAAGATGGTGCAGCGTGCCATACCTCAAAAAAGGCTATAAAATGGATGGAAGAAAATAATGTACCACTTTTGAAATGGGTTTCTAGCAGTCCAGATCTGTCACCTATTGAAACTTTGTGGCACGAGATGAAAAAGGTTCTACGACAACAGCCTGCTCGTACAGTTACCGAACTGAGACAAAAGCTTCAAGAAATATGGGATTGTTTTACACCAAATTTTTGCCAAAACTTGGTAAACACTATGTCCCAATGAATTTCAGCCGTAATAAAAAATAAAGGTGATGTTATCCAATGGTAATCTGTCAATTGTTGCTTTGTTAACTTCGCACATATATTCACACATTGTTTATTTGTTCAAATGTTCTATTAGTTAATAGGTGTAAGTGATTTCAAATATGTATTTTTTACGGCTAGAGTGTATCTAAAATGTTTTTGAGAAAATAAATTGTTTTAGAAGTAAATAGTTTCGTCATGTTTAGTTTATAAAGGCATATTTTGGTACAAATCTTGAAGTAGGAAACATGAATATTAACAATTAAAAAAGAATAAAACAAATGTCAACTGTCTGAAACCCACAAGGGGGAGTTCACTATCTAGTGCTCTTCCACTCATCCTTTGAAATTGTAAGAAACATTATGCCAGTAAATACATCCATCAAGCATATACAAACATCAATATGAACACCATGTAAGTTTTTTAAAAATAAGATAGAAAAGTGAGAAGCGTGGTAGTAAATTTAAGAAAAAAAGAATGTCTAGAATACATACATACACACACATATATATATACACATATATACATATACAGATACATATACCTATACATACCGCATAAACAAACGCAAAAATGAATGACAATTAAGTTTGAAAAAAAAAGTGCAAAGAGAAAACGTAGTGGTAAATTTAAAAGTCTAGAATGACATATGAATACATATACGTACATTATGCATCGTATGAAAAAAAAATATAAATAAAATAATGGAATGCAAACAAAATAAAATTGAAATTCCGAAGCAGCAGTAAGAATAATACTACTTTATACATTCAAGGTAAGAATCACGCAGAACCGCTTTGAACTTATGAATTTCATATGATTTGAGGTACTGGGGGATAGGATTGTATAGCTTATATATATATATATATATTATATTATACGTTTACAAAATGCTGCCACAGCATCACGGATTTATGCGAATCGGTTTCCCAATCGAGTGCAATCAACCCCTCGTGCCTTTTTTTTCTATTTTTACACACATATTTTGGTTTATCTTCCTTCTACAATCATTATCTGAAAATTAATGACTCAACTTCAAAGTCACCCTGTATATATATATCCTGGGGTAACGACAGTCATATAGTTCATCAAAGTGCCAGTTTTCCAATCTTCAATTGCAGTTTTTAAGAGATGTGCAATGATTATGAGAAAAATTTGTGGTCTTTTAGTCTAGTAGAGTATATTTCAATACTTGTCTTGCGTGGCCATGTTATGTTTACTCGGGCCCTTTCTAGCACTATTAATACTGCTACTATAGATGTAAAATGATTTTTCTGAACCACATACCTTAAGTGTTCATACTTCCAGACACCCTCATCTTGGTTCTCTGGCATTTTCAATATCAAGTCAATGTTTGTAGGATCTTTTCTAATCAGTTGCTGGATATATTGCTGCACCGCTAGGGTGCTATCCATCTCTTCAAACGGCTCATCGGGCCACCGACAGTAATCCTGTAAAGGGTGGTTCATTTTAGGGCACGAATGCATTCGAAGAACTTCAGAATGATTTTTGGGGTGATGCTTATTAAGATGCTAATTGAGGGAATTTAGATTGTATGATCATTGAAATTACCTGTGCTTTTGTACCAGGCCTATTTCTTCGCAAAATTATGCTACCGTCGCCCATCTTCATTTTTGACATATAACAAATTTGTCCACTTGTCAAAATAAATCAGCAGGGCAAAGAAAATTTGAACAAATGGTAGGCCTATACGATAAAGTAACTTTTCCTTGGGCCAATATTCTTTTCATTGATGGTCAATGAGTATTTCTTGCTTATGTCATTGGTGCATGCAATAGGAAGATGGCGGCGAACATTGTATTATCGTTGCATTTCTCTCAACTTCTATTTCTGTCTGTCAATTGTCAACATATTGTCAAATCGGTCGCTAGTGCGTTTGTGGGTTTGTTCCAATGTCTTCCGTTAGGAACCTAAAATATGTTCCTTAACTTCATTCTAAAAAGCAAATAAAATTATCTCTCTAATGACTTTCAAACAATTATTTTGCAACAGTTTAAGCACTAAACGTGATGCTATTAAAAATGGACACTCATTTAGCTAAGTTTCATTTTTCGAGCAGTGCAACGGTGCAAATTTACATAACCTCACATTACGTTTGACAATCGCTTGATCAAAATGGCGGTTGTGTAAATTGTTGACGATCAAACTTTCCGACAGTGTTATAATACACGAGATGCAATCAAATGTGATTGTAATGGTTTGCTTCTAAACATTTTACATCATTTATTTAGTAGCGTTATTCGTTTAGTTTTGCTACAGAGTAAAAGCGGTCCACACTACACGTAAGTTTTCCCTACTTGAAATTTCCACTGGGGCAGAAAATCTGCTGAAAATAACGGATTCAACATGTCCTCATCTCTCTGCAAGACATCTGTACTCCGGATATATCAAGAAGTTATAGACGACGTTATCGTAGGCGTACGGGAACTGTTTCTTGAAGATGGTGTTGATGAGCAGGTAAGGAAGCCACTTTTTCAAATTTTTCAAGGTCTAATCGTTTCTAAATGTTAAATTACTATCTATTACCATTCAATAGATTTCAGATATTGATGCTGCTGAAAGGCCAATAAGTTCTGTATATTATAAGCACTGGATAGTTTCCTCTTTTCAAACCCTGACCACAATAGGGGGCTGTCAAGTTTATGTTGTGGGTAGCAGCACAGAAGTGGCGACCTCGCAAGAAAGTTATGAAAAAAACTATTTTTGCAAAACAAGGTTCAGAAGAAACAAAATCTAGAGCTGTCAAAAACCATACCGCGCGCGAATCTCGGAAATATCTGCATGGTCAATGATGATGAATCAATGTTTCTTTTAGTTTGCGAGAGCGTATGAGCTAATAAATAGCCAGCAACTGTGTGGTTATTAATGAAAACTTTTTTTTAGAAGAGAATGGTTTCTGTGAGTACTGCCTACCATCAACATCAGTTTTCTATTTAGCAGACTTCTCCTTATTTGAACCAACGTAATATCTAGCTTAGCTACACCAGCTGTTTTTGATGAAAAATGATTTCTGTGCCCAGTTTTTAGGGTGTATATGAAAGAAATAAGATTGAAAATGAGTGCAAACATGAAATATTTTACTATTTAATAGATTTTTATATGAATGAATGACTTCTAACTCCACTGCCCTACACAAGGGAAAGAAATTCTAGAGCATAAGGAGAGGTGCTATGTGTGTAAATGTTTTTCATTCATTTTCTTATATTTCCTCAATATGGCAATGTGACACTTTGTATAGGATCCATTCCATTCTGAAAGAAGGTGTTTATACCTTTTAAAACCCAGATAATATCAACATTATTCTGCAACTAACCCATTTATGGGTATCTTCAATCTCACTTCCATCATTTACAACCCAAACTTAGTGTCTGTTCAGACAGAGAAACAAGCTAGCTAGATAATAATCTTAACCAACACTTAGTTCCTCTACTATTCAAACTACAAATCCAAAACTGTCCATACAACAAAATCAAACAGCAACTATAAACCACAAAACAACAAAAAAGTCGGAAATGTTGAAGCATACAAAATTTGCATGTACACTTGTTGGAGTGCTCTTTGATCAAATCCATATATGTATATTGAATTGAAGGTTGTGATTGTGATCTGTTGCATTTCTAAAACTCAAAAATGCGATCCTTTAAACTGAGATTCATTCCTTAATTTCAAGTATCTGTGATCTCAAATCAATGTCATAATTTTGAGGGAATATGTGATTTTGACATCTATATGAAAGAAGAACCTTGTCAAGTATTGTAATCACGTAGGTATACTACTTTGTAAGTCTTTCATACTATTCAAAGAACTCCAGCTTTCAGAATACACATATTTTGCAATGAAGTTGAACGGTTTGAAATGAATAATCTAATTGTGCCCTTGATTATGACCTTCATGCCCATGTGAAGGTAAAGGCAGTTTTTTTTTTAAATAGAGACTCCTATTATTGAGAGCAAGAGCAAGATACTTTATATTCAAGTATGTACAGTAACGGACAAAAGTATATAGACAAATTAATATTGTGCTGTATTTCTTATTTAACTTGTTTTATTAATATACCAACCTGTATACATAATTCGTTATAATACTCACTTATACATAAATAAATTCATTAGACTCCCTTCAATAAAAAATTAATTGAAAAAAAACTGGAACTATGAAGGACAAAAATATATAGACAAAGCAAAACAATTATAGAAAAAAGAAGCAAAGTTCATTGAATTGAAAACCAACCATGTTTGTGTTAATATCTTGTAGCATAACCATTATTATCAATCACCGCCTGGCATCGTCTCGGCATAGATTGTTGAAGTTTCTTGATATAGGATTCATCAATCTGTCATGACTTTTGCTCTAAAGCGGCAAAAAGTTCATCCTTGTTTGAATAATTTTTATCTCGTATTTGCTTATCTAAGTATTCACATAGATTTTCAATGCGGTTTATATCAGGAGACTGTGAAGGCCATTTGAGAACTGGTAGTTTTTCATCCAGAAAGAATTTCTTTGCGAGATTTGAAGTGTGCTTCGGGTCATTATCTTGCTGGAAGATTGATCTTCAGGGCATATTGTCTTCGATATAGGGTAACATGACATGTCTGTGTATACAAACTTATCCATAATGCCATCTATTCTATGTAAAGGTCCCATCCCAAACCCCGGAAAGCACCCCCAAACCATAACAGACCCGCCTCCATGTTTGACAGTGGGCAAAGTGTACTTGGAGTTCAATCTTTGTCCACTAAGACGTCTAACGTAATGAACACCATCTGATCCAAACATATTGTACTTGGATTCGTCACTGAAACATGCCCTCTTCCAGTGACAGATGCTCCAATCAAGATGCAACCGTGCAAATTATAATCGGTCCTTACGGTTTTTCCTCGAGATTAGCTTCTTACTCGGCCGACGTGCAAATAACTTCAAAACATTTAATCTTCTACTTATAGTTTTCGTAGATACACTGGCAATTCCTTTTGTCTCGATTTCAGCTTTTATTTGTCTTGGGATTTTAAACGGATCTTTGGACGAAATTACTTTTATTAACCAAACTGATCTAGCCGACCACTTCTCTTAGAGGCTTCCAAGATACCTTTTTGTTTATATTTGTTAAATATTGCCCAAACTGCTTTACGCCCCAGCTTCAAATTTTTTGCAATGTCGACTTGATGTTGACCATCTTTGTATAACTCAATGATCTTAGTTTTCACATCGAAAGAAATTTCTGGACCACGCGGCATGGTCTTAAAATCACTCAACTTATTCCACAATACTTGATGAACACAAACTAATCCTCTTCTGACATGAAACTGTACTAAACTAACGTTGAAAAGAATTTGTCCTTCATAGAAAAGTGGTTATATTGTTCCTTGTAGATAATGTAAAAACAAGGAATTCAGTTTTTCTACTAATAATGCATTTGTTTATGGAGCAATGAAGTATGAATTCGTTTTCCAAAGGTATTTAGGTAAATATTAATATTTGCCTATATACTTTTGTCCATTACTGTTCATGACCTTGTCTATTTGAAGATCAAATGCATTTTTAACAGACAATATATATTTTTAATTTTCATTAACTCATTTAAAATCTACAAAATACACAAAAAATACCATTTCAGTTTTATGGTTATTGCTGGACATGTGGCAATGCACAAAAAATATTATTTATATTTTTCTGGCAGAGTTGAATGATAAAACACCACAAAGTTTGCATTTGCATAGTACTTTTGTGATGTAAGCAATCTCCTTCTTGGTGGGTGTTAAATGGTTTGAACTCTATGGGTATACAACTTTTTTCCATATTATAGTAATACGTCTTAGAGGTCATAATGTTATCCCGTACATACACAAGTTTTTGTTCTCACTTGTAAAGGTTGTTTGAAAATTTTGCTGATGAAAACGTGATACTCGTGAAGTTTTACGAGTGCAATTTCGCGTGATAATTATACTAAATAAAAGCTTGATAGAACAGCGATCACTTACTGTATATGAACCTGTAGGATACAAATTATGTAGTGTGTAACCCTCAATTAATTGTGATAATAATTTGCGATAAATCCAAAAAAGTTACAAGGTGGATACTTTTTTATCATTTAGCTACATTCCTTTACGATAAAAAAAGTTGTACGTATATTAAAGGAATATGCCTAGTCCACAGAAAGTACAGTGACGATTGATATGGAATCAAATAATGATGTCTGTGGCGCCTGCAACCGTGATTTCAATGCTAGGCATAATTTCGTCAAGTGTAACTTATGCAGCACAAATTTTCACCTAGCATGTGCTTCCGTGAAATATGCCTGGTTGAACGTTATAGAGGATTGTGATAACCTATTATGGCTGTGTGATAAATGCAAATCTACCGTGTGCTCAAATAATGCGCATTTTAAGGCCGAAATTACCACGCTAAACAAAGAAATTGATTGCTTGAGCCTGGAGAAGCAACTGACATCAAAAACTGTGGAGGATCTTGAATATACAAGCCTCTTGCTGCAATCTATGATAAAAAACAAGGTTTGTAAATATTATATCTATTGGAAATATCGAAATATCCTATATCTATGATAGACAATGTTTTTCTTTAATTTCTGGGCAAGACCAGTTAATGTCGTATTTTGTTGTGGTTTTTTGTATGCCATGGATTCATACTTCCTAACCACCGTTTTATTTGGAAAACGCACACGAGAAAACAACTCGACAACCAAAATGATTGCTAATGATCATGATTATAAGTAGGAATAAAACACGATAAACAGTTTTTTACTATGTTGGTTTAAGATTTATTTAGCATGATTGCTACAATTACATTCGTCGGAAAAACTAAACAATTGCATAACATACAGATGTTTAGAAAAAAAAATTGCATCTCTAAGAATTTTCACTGTCCATGAAATATTCCTTTAATTTTCTTTTAAACATCTTTAACTCACAAGTAGACTTTATATAAAATTATTAAATTCAAGTAATCCTTTCTGAAATACTGATTTGCTAGTTATATTACTATTGCAATTTTGTAAATGAAAATCTATATTTCCTCTTGTATAATATACTAAGTGACATATAAATCCGAACACCCAGTTTAAATGGTTTTATTTTAGTAAAAGTTGGTGAATGTATTTATCTTACTGTAAATAACAAGTAAAAAAATGTCCAGCCTTATCAGTTGGACATTCCGGTTTTTATACTGTTTTTTTTTAAATTCACTAACGCTCTAAAAATGAATATTTCAGCCGCCTAGAGTACGGAGACCTGTACGATTTCGTCAACTTAGCGAGTTTGATAGGGGCCGTATAGTGGGACTTCGGGAAGCTGGACTTTCTTTTCGGGCAATTGCAGTTAGAGTGCAAAGAAGTGTAGACACTGTGGTTAGGTGTTGTCAGGCATGGCTTCTAGAAGGCCGTACGCAAAGAGCAAGGGGCACTGGACGCCGCCGTACAACAACAGACCGTGAAGATCGCCGCCTAAGATTATTGGCCTTAAGGGACCGTTTCTCCACTACCAGGTCCATTGCAAATGAATGGTTTGCAGAACACGGAAGACCTATTGGCATGCGAAGTGTTTACCGACGAATGAGAAGTTTTGGCTTGTTTTCATACCGGCCACACTGGGTCCTCCCTTTAACTCGAGAACACCGACGTAATCGCCTTGAGTGGTGCAGACAACGGTCACTCTGGGATCAGGAATGGAACAGTATTGTCTTTAGTGACGAGTCTCAATTTTATTTAGGCATGCACGATGGTCGTGCCAGGGTTAGAAGGCGACGTGGTGAAAGGAGGAATCCACAGTTTTTTGTTGAACAACATGTTCATCACACTGTTGGAGTTATGGTTTGGGGTGCTATAGCTTATGGTTCTAGGTCACCTTTAATCTTCATCAGAGGTAACATGAACGCGCAGCGTTATATCCACGAAGTTCTAGAACCCCATCTTTTACCCTATGTTGACACCCTGGCAGATCCAACTTTCCAACAAGATAATGCCCGACCACATGTTGCAAGAGTCACAATAGACTTCTTTCAACATAATGATGTCACATTGTTACCATGGCCACCAAGATCTCCCGACTTATCCCCAATTGAGCACGTGTGGGATATGATTGGTAGGAGATTGCTCAATTTGCAACGTCCTCCTCAGACTCTAGAAGCACTTCGAGAGGAGTTGGTGGTTGCCTGGAATGAGATACCACAGGAGGACATTGACCACCTGATCAGAAGCATGCCTAGGCGCGTTGGAGAATGCGTAGCACATCAGGGTGCATCCACACATTATTAAAGGTCAAAGGGCTTTAAAGCAGTGCAATCATTTTGAAATTTTTATCATTTACTTATTATGCTTCATTAAGTACTTATACAAAATTTTATTAAAATAAAACCATTTAAACTGGGTGTTCGGATTTATATGTTACTTAGTATAATTGGGATAATGATTATGCATTTCTATGTAGTGTTCTAAATCTTGTGGCAAAAGATGATGTTTTATTTTAAATATAAAATATGAACAAAATATGATATGCAATTTTTTATATTCAACCACTGCAATTCTTGTAAGATAGATTTTATGTTGCTGTACTTATTTTTATCCAATATAATTCTCATAGCTTTATGTTGCAGGACTTCTAATTTTTAGAATACAGCTTCATTGGCAGTGAACAAGATAGTTGAACAATAATAGTAAATGCGGTAGAATAATTGTATTAAAAACTATTTTCTTGGAGTAAGTAATTTGTTTTTTTGGCAATTTTTGAAATAATGTATTCATAGTGATCATTTTCAAGTATTTCACCATTTATCCTAACTGTGATAATATTTTCATTTAGGTATTTCACTATTAGCATACATTTTGTTTTAGAAGTATTCAATTTAAGTTTATTTACATTTAGCCAATTTATGATTTTTGCCAAGTCGGAATTGAGCATTTTTAAAGGAGTGTCTATATTTTCATCTGATATGTATATTAATGTATCATCTGCAAATATCTGAATTTTGCAATAATCTAAAATATTACAAATGTCATTAATGTATAAAATAAATAGTAGTGGTCCTAGAAATATGTTTTGAGCTTGATAATATAGTTCCAATTTTGGTTTTTTGACTTCTGTCAATTAAATAGTTCTGTAGAATGTTGAATACAGATCCTTTAAATCCGAAGTGATGCAATTTTGTTAGTCATTTATCCCTGTCATTTGTCTTAAACGCTCTTTTGAACTCCAAAACACTTTTACTGTATGTTTCATATTGTCCATACATCTCTTCCAGTCCTCTAAAACCGTTTCAGTTGAGTGTTTCTTCCTGAATCTAGCTTGGAATTTGGTTAAAATGTTATTTCCCTAAATAAATTCGATGATCTGTTCGTAAATAATTTCTTCAAAGACTTTTTCAACATCTGGCTGAACATTTATTGCCGCATATTGGTGTACAACTCAGCATTCTTAACTTTAGAAACAGGAGTTATGGTAGAACACTACAGTTTTGTTGGAAATTCGCCATATTTTAAACAGTTATCAGGATTAATATTCTTGCTCCAATAATATCAAAACATCCATTAAGCACACTTATTTTCTTGAGATGATTAATGTTTAGTGTTCTTAAGTCACTGAATGATGCATGATAATCTGAGCTATAAATAATTCTGAATACGGCCCTGAGTTTTGCCCGATTCACCTCCAATGTATCATTTCCAATTTACGGACTTTAATACAAAAATGTAACATGCCGATCAGCTGTTCTCCTCAGTAGACGTCAAACCGTAATGGATTCTGAGGAAAACCACCATAGCAAATTGACATTTGAGATGGCCATAATATCTCTGCATAAAGGCGATAGCTGAAATTCCAAGATGGCGGTTGGGTGCCATCTTAGATTTTTTAATTGGAAAGGTGTTGGTAAAAACCGGGTTTTTTGAAAAAAGCAGTTTTTGTTTGAATCAGATTTATTTGGTTTAAAAAACAATTTGAGTTTAAATATTAACTGAAACTAATAAAGTTTAAAAAATATACAGGGTGTCCACAAAGTTGGGGTTTTCCTTTACACGACGTGTAGATCTTGAAAACATAAGCAATTTTTCTTTGTACCATACACACCAATGTCTTAAGGGAACCGAGATAAAGGGCTCTGCAACATCAAAAATATCTGAATACCGTCCTGTAGCCGCGACCCGCGACATTACCGAGTGGTACAAGGTCGCTGGCTCAACCCGACGACAGAACTGGGTCGGGGTCAGTGTGTCAGGTCAGTATGCAACCTTCAACCGACGGTTACGGTCACGCGTGTAGAGGTAAACGAACCCGTATAATCGATTGCGTTTCAAAAAAAAAATAATAATGGCACACTCATACACCAATAATGAACTCGTTGATATATTGTTAATTTATGGCGAATGTCTTCAAAATGCTACAGAGGCTTCGCGAGTGTATGCAGATCGTTTCCCTAGACGACATTATCCAAGGCCCCGCAGATTTGTGTACCTGGTCCAGAGTCAGGGATACGGACCATTTGGAGGAATTTCGAGGTGGGCACAGTGGGAGGCCTAGACAACCACGAATGGTGCAAGTTGAGGAAGAACTACTGAATCGCGTAGACGAGAATCCCTCAACAAGCACTAGAGACGCGGCTAGAGAAGTGCAAGTATCAAAAACTAAAGTGTGGCAAACGCTGCGTGCTGTATCCGTTTCACGTCCAACGTGTACAAGCACTTCAACCTGACGATTTTCTAGCAAGAGTGCGGTTTTGTGAGTGGTTGTTGCATCAACATGACAATAATCCGGACTTTTTGAAGTGCTTATTGGTGACAGACGAATCTACGTTCACGCGTAATGGAGTGAATAACTTTCGCAACACTCATGTTTGGTCAGTAGAAAATCCGCACGCTGTCCGTCTGGCACATTTTCAACAAACATTTTCGGTGAATGTTTGGGCTGGCATGGTGAACGGTATGCTCATTGGACCATTTATTCTCCCAAATCGATTGGACGGTATGCAATACCTAGACTTTTTACGCAACATTTTGCCTTCCTTGTTAGAAGATGTGCAATTAAGTGTAAGACAATCAATGTGGTTTCTGCACGCTGGTGCACCGCCCCATTTTAGACGCGAAGTGCGTGAGTTTTTGAATGAATTATTTCCGAATAGGTGGATCGGACGTAATGGACCCGTAGCGTGGCCTCCGCGATCTCCAGACTTATACCATGTGATTTTTTTCTTTGGGGAGAAATGAAGCGCTTAGTGTACAAAACTGAAGTGCATACGGTTGACGAACTTCGTCTCAGAATTGAACAAGCTGGTGCTTTCATTCGGGGGAGGGACTCCATTCTCAAAGCCTGCACCGATGCTTGGCTACGTCGTGCACGCACCTGAGTTTTTGAATCAAACGGCGAGAACTTCGAACAATACCTATAAAGTACGTTTACCTAAAAACTGAAAACGCGGCAACGCCGTCATATTTGTTACCTCTGTTCGTGGTCTGCACCACCGCCTGCGTCTGCTCGGTAGCGCATCAGCTGATTTCATTTTCTGTTGGAGCGGTATGATTTCGGGCAGAGACGTACTTAGCCCTTCTCGTCAACTGGAGAGTGAGTACTTTTTCCTTTATTTTTTTTTACTTGGTCGCCCTCGTTTCACTACACATTACCTTTGTTATTTCAAGGGTAGTTGTTTCTGAAAAGGACAACCCCAACTTTGCGAACACCCTGTATATCTTAATCTAATAATTTCACATTTAGCTTCAATTTTCTTTGTATGGTAATCGCAGGGTATGTGACAAATAACGCCCACAGAATATTTGCTCTTTTCCTGGACAGTTAAATGATAAAAAATATATAATCTACATAGTACTTTTGATGTAAGCAATAATCTCGTTTTTGGTAGCTGTTAGTTCGTTTTATAGTAACACAGAATCCGAGGTTACAATTTTATCCTATCTTTAGCCCTGAATAGATCCACAAGTTTCTTTTCTCACTTAAGAAGGTTGTTTGGAAATTATGCGGAGGAAAACGTGAAAATCGTGAAGTTTTACTAGCGCATCCTCTGTGAAAATATCAGGCAAAAACTTGACAGAACAGTTACATACTGTATAGGAACATGTGCCATACAAATTGTGTGGAGTGTAATCCACAATTAATTCAAATAATAACTCGTGATAAGTGCAAAAAAGTTTCAAGGTGGTTAATTTTTTGTCATCTAGCTACATTCCTCCACGATAAAAACAGTTGTTCATATATAAAAAGAATCTACATAGTCAACAGAAAGTACTGTGACGATAGATATGGAATCAAATAATGATGTATGTGGTGCCTGCGAATGTGATTTTACGGGTAGGCGGACCTTCATCAAGTGTAACTTATGCAGCACACATTTTCATCTAGCATGTGCTTCCGCGAAATATGCCTGGCTGAGGATTATAGAGGAGTGTGCTAACTTATTATGGCTCTGTGATAAATGTAAATTCAAAGTGCGCTCAAAGAATGTGCATTTTAAGGCAGAAGTTACTATGCTAAACAAAGAAATTGATTGCCTAAACATAGAGAGGCAACTAACATCGAAAATTGTTCAGAATCTTGAGTATACCAATGACTTACTGGAATCGATAATCAGGAGCAAGGTTTGTAGATATTATATCTATTGGAAGTATCGTAATATCCTATGCTGATATATGTAAAATATATTCTGGAATGTCATGCTGTCCGGAAATCTTTCCAAATTATGGATAGTTAATCTATCCACTATTTTTTTCTACAGGTCTACTTGAATATGCTGTAACATTTTTGATACCATACACAAATACGTTTCAACAATACATTATTTGGCAACGTATCTTGTAAAGCAGATTGAGAAATAACGAAAGTTGATTTCAGAAAATAAGATTACAATGTAGCGATTTTCTACAAATTCTTCATAATGGAGATAACGTGAAAATCGTACACAATCGGATAAATATATATACAGGGTGTTTCAAATTCACCATTGGGATCTCGAAATCTGTAAGAGATACGAAGTCGCTTTAATGGGGTAAAAGTTGCGCATTCCGATAATCAACAAAATGCCGCTTAGAAAGTTTCGAAATCCAAAGTATTTCCTGAGAGGCGGAAAAACGAATTTTCCCAAAGTCGCTTTGTTTTCCTTTACGTTGTAGTGGGATTTCAAAATAATTTGCACATTAACTTTGCCACTGTATCTCCTGAAGAAGATGGCATAATTAGAATTTCAATATGACATTTCATCTCTTATCCTCCAGCATCAACTTTATTTTTTCTTGTGATCACCATATTGGGATTTAGCACAGATTAATAGAGTTCATAGGTAGGCTTTGAAATTATCAGATAGTCATTTGTTTCTCATACCACATTTATCCCAAAATCACATTTATTTTTTCCTGAATTTATTTGAGATGAGATTTCAAATTGAATTTCATGTTGTCGTTGTTACTTATTCTCCTCTACAAGATGCCGTAGTGAAATTTTCAGTTCGACATTTTTTCTTCCACCACAAAGTTTGTTTTTTCATATGGACACTATATTAGACTTTGATACGTTTAATTGGGTTTTCAGTTCTAAATTCAGTGATGTATTTTCTTAGTTGGCCATGAATTTTTGTCGGATCAAAATTATAAGGAAATAAAAAGGTTTAGTGAAACCTGAACACAAAATGAAAATTTGATTGTTGGTAATTATAATCATCAATAAGCAGAGGTAAATCATAGCAGCTGTTTAAAATATTTTCAGTTATTTTGTAGGTACATTCTAACTTTTCTCTTCACATTTTTTATTGCTGGATTTATTTCTCTTCTTCTCAGTCTTCCAAACTCTGTTGTAACGTTCAAATTTAGGTCTTGTCTGGCATGCGAAATTAATGCAATGTGATAATTTCAAGGTCTAACTATGAACCTCTGATTTTCCGGTCTAATTAAGGTTTGACAATATCAGTGTATGACATATTATAAATTTTTGAAATCAGAATTAAAAACTCTATGCAATCCAATACGGCGTCTATGAAAAAAATAAAAATGATGCTGGAGGACAAGAGACGAAACGTCAATGTCTAACTATGCCATCTTGTAGAGGAGAAAAAGTGATAATTTATTTTGAAATCCCACTACAGGAAAAAATTAAAACCATTATGGGAAAATTCGCTTTTTCCATCTCTCTGAATTTCGGAACTTTCTAATCGGTATTTTGTCGAACACTTAAATACGCAACTTTGTCTCCATTTAAGCAACTTCGTATCTCTTTCAGTTTTCGAGATCCCAATGTTTGTGAGGGTCGAATTTGAAACATCCTGTATATACAGGGTGCGGCAGAGAGGACGAACGTTTTTAGGATGGGTAGCACTCTCCACCCCAGTCTACGAGAGAGGTGGGGAGGGTGCCGTTTGACTCCTGAGATCCTAGCATTATTTTACCAGTTGTCGTTATGGAGCCTTGGATGGTGGAGCACCGCGTTTTCGCCTATGATTGTTTCGTCCGAAATAATGAGTCAGTCATCGTCGTACAGCGTGAGTTTCGTCGCCACTTCAACATTCATCGAAATAAAGCTGTTCCCTCTCGAAACACCATCCTTCGTTGGGCTGAATCACTTCGCAGGCGTGGTGAACTGATCAACAGAAGACCAAGAGGAGCGCCGCGAACAGTTCGAACTCCTGAAAATGTTGAACGCGTTCGACAGGTCTTTCTTCGCAGTCCTACTCGATCTGCCCGGAAATATGCTGCTGCACTTCGCCTTAGTGATCGTTCGGTAAGGCGAATTTTGCATATGGATCCAGCAGGATATGGTGACCGCCCACACAGCCCGAGCATCCATGGACGTTGTTTGCCCTCTCTTCCCTGGTCGCCTTATTTCCAGGTTTGGCGATGTTCGTTGGCCTCCTCGGTCCCCAGATTTATCCATATGCGATTTTTTCTTATGGGGACACCTCAAGGCTAGAGTATACGCGAACAAGCCCCGAACTCTGGACGAATTGAAGGGCGAAATTCGCGTGGAAGTCGCCCAAGTTGAGAGAGCGATGTTGGAGAGAGTCTACGCGAACTTCCAAGAACGCCTCCAGCACTGCATCAACGATTTCGGCCACCACATGCCTGACGTGATTTTCCACACTTGACTGTCTCAAATGCTATTTCCCTGTGACCTGATTCCATCAATAAATTTGTTTTCGAGTAAAAAGAACTATTTTATTATTTTTTTAAAACCGTCCATCCTCTCTGCCGCACCCTGTAGTTTTTCAGATTGGAAGTAACTTTTGGTATAGAAGGAAACTACTATTACAACCTTGACCGTTTCCAGTACTGTACAGGTACACATTTCTGTTCTCATTCGAGAAGGTTATCTCCTAATCGTTCGAACAAAAACGTGAAAATTCTGAGACTTCTTTAGTGCGGTCCGTGTAAAGGTTATATCAATCTAACGCTTGACAAAACAGTTATCTGTTGCAGAATAAAGAACCGATAAATACAAACTGTGTAGTGCCTAATCACAAATTAATTATACTAATTATTCCTCATAAGTGCAAACATTAAGTGGTGTATACTTTTTTGTCATCCAGACACTTTTTTGTGAGAGTGGCTCTAGATACAAAAGGAACGTTGACAATCCAGTAAAAGGACATCCATAATATAGTAACAATTATTATTAATTAATATGGAATCTAATAATGATTTTTGCGGTGTGTGCAAGGACGATTTCGATGTCAATTGGAACTTCGTCAAGTGTACTTTATGCCGCACGAAGTTTCACCTGGCGTGTGCTTACATGAGGGAAGCCTGGTTGAACATCCTAACGGAATGCGACAACTTGTGGTGGCTCTGCAACAAATGCAAGTTTCTAGTGCGTTCAAGCAATGAGCATCACAAAGCCGAAGTTGCCATGCTAAATAAAGAAATCGATTGCTTGAGCAGAGAGAAACAACTAGCATTAAGATGTTTGGAAGGTTTTGAGTATACAAACGATTTGATGAAGTCTTTGATAAAAAATCAGGTTGGTAAATTTATAAAGATATCAAAATATCCAGGATATTTCTTAATGTCCAGAACTTCACAGCACGATTCCTTAGGTGTTTTTAAGACGAAAAGATAATATAAACTAGAGCTGTGCAGTGGCGACGCGTGACTTTTCCTAAACTGTTACCAAAACCAGAAGTGAAAAATCTTATTGAAAAAAGTTTATTTTGAACCTCCCAAATATAATTTTTTGCTTATTTTAGGTATTTTACTTAAACTATTTTCAAATACACTTAATATACCTAATCATCTTACGCTATGACTAATCCAAGCCGTCCGAAAAAACAGTCGACGTTTCTGGATGTTCGGAATTTTGATCTTTTTTGGCAATGAATGTTAACAATTCCCTGTAATTTCCTCTACAGTGTGAGTCTTCATAAAGTGCACATAGCAAAATCAAGGAAACTACACCTTATTTTATTGACGGAAAAATTATCAAAAAAAATTAAAAACAATAATTGATTTTTTATGAATATTTTAAAATTTTTAGAGTCAGCTGCTAACCCTATTTAAATAAATCGTTACAACTTTTAAACTGAATGTCCTATCATATTGGAATAAATTTTGTAGTGATTGCAAATAATAGGCCGTACCAGTAAAGTGAAAATTTCCACTAAATTGAATGCTATAAATTTAAAATAAAGAGGAATATGCTGAAACTCACTATTTTTTCAATGATTTTTAAGACAATTGCTAAATTTCAATAAAAATTGTCCTATTTACCCTACCTTTTTTAAATGTTAAGTTATTCTACATGTTATTAGCTTCCTAATGGTGAATAATTGCAAGTTTATTACTTAGATACAAATTTTTAAATCAGCGTTTCAAAAAGCAGCTCAACGCCAGAGTAGGAATAAAACAGTATTAACCTACATGAATCATTCGTTATCTTTAACAAACAAAATCAAATAGACTTGTCTATAGGATAATCATTTTGGCTTAATGCATGAAATGTTCAAAATGGCCACCCCGTTGCTGCAAACACATTGTAGCGCGAAGTGAAATTTGATGAGTTGCCCTACGAATCATCTCGGGATCATTTTTGATTTCGTTTGCGACACGCAAAACTCTTCAAGTTCCGCTTCGCTGTTTATGGAACTGCTGTACACCCTTTGTTTCATTGTCCCCCATAAAAAATAGTCGAGAGGTGTGAGATCTGGGGAACGCGCCGGCCACCCAACAGGTCCTTGTCGACCGATCCAGCGGCTTGGATAATTTTCATTAAGAAAAGACCTGACAGTCAGCGAGTAATGGGCAGGACATCCATTCATTTGAAGCATCATTCTTCGACGGGTTTGCAGCGGCACTTCTTCCAACAGCAAGGGCAGTTCAGTCCGCAAAAGCTCCAGAAATCTCTCTCCGTTTAATGTCCTCGGGAGTATTATTGGACCAATCAAAAAGTTGTCAATCAGTGCGGCCCACACATTTACAGAAAATTTCAATGTTGAAGCCATTTTCAGCCTAGGGTTTCCATCTTTTGGGCACCACTTATGTAAATTACGACAGTTCACGATGCCTTCTCTCGTGAATTGAGATTCATCTGTCCACAGAATTTTTTTCGGGAATTCAGGATTGTCTCTTGTTTTTATTAAAATCCATGTAGACATAACGCACCTTGGACGCCAATCCACATCTTCATGCAAGTGTTGCACCCTTTGATAATGGTATTTCAATATGGTTAGAAGCTGCTACTAAAAATCTTATCAAAAAAATTTTTTCATTTCTGTCAACACTTTCGATTGAATCCCAAAAAACACGTTTTCTCATTCTTTGTTGTTGAATAAAAAGTTTTCCCACAAACATTGGTGTACCTATTTTATGCGTCCATGTTTTTAATAGCCCCTTGAACAACTTGCACCAATAAAACCAGACTTTACAATTATTTCGGGGAAATTTGCTAATATGATTAATGTATCGTTGTCTCCACATTATACAAAATTAAATCTTGCTTAACAAAATTAAGTTATAAGCTTTGGTTGGTCTTTCAGCAGCTTCATAAGATATCTGAACTCATAACCTCATTCTATAGTTTCCAACTAATTTATTCAACATTTATTCCCAGGTGTTATTGGAACTAAAACAAACGTGGGAGAGTAAGCTACTGGCTAGTAAAGCTGTACAGAGTGAGCAAGAGGAAAGGGTTAAGAAACAAGAACAACAACACGCTGCTAGCAATGGTTTCCCGAAAGTAGTAAACAATCCTGTACCTCAAGGTGTTCCTGTTCAACAGCAGCCTACACAGCAACCTATAGCCCCACAGATACAACAGATTGTGGAAACCAAGCAGGTATAGTCCAATCTTGTTCAATCATGCAATATCAAAAGGCACTTGAAACTCGAACCATACAAGGTGGAAACACGGAAAGTGGGTGGGCCCTAAAGCTTCGTCTCACCTAAATTGTAAGGCCGGGGTATTACGTAACTTGAAAAGTGGAATTCTGTCTTTTTTGACATTATACTGGTTTTTTGTGACATGCAGTTTTTCCAACAAGGCGTCAACTCGGCGCGGCACACACTAGCCTACTTAGAAAACAACTTTACATTTTATCGTTTCTTTTTTTGACATTGTATAGGTTTTTACGTAATGACCTCGCCGGGCAATCTATGATGTGTGAAATATGTCTAGAAGATGCTTAGAGTTATCGGGGTTGGAAGTGTATTATTACACTAACAGCCCCCTGCAACGCCACTAACTCAATTTTTCACCCCTAAACATGTTCCAAAAATGAACGTCAAAGAACGAGGTTTGAGTGATTTTTTTTGTTTTTCGCCCTTTTGTTCGCTACTGGGCCGATCTTAAAAAACTACAAAGATTTTTAGTCCTTGACGTAGTAGTGAACTCGTGTGAGAATTTCATCAAAATCCGAACGGTACCTTCCAAGTGATTAGCGGACCGACAGACACACCGACCGACGTAAATAAGTGACACGGTTTTTCGTGAAGCACACATCATAACGGATTAAGTCAGTTAAACAGACCCATACTCCATAGATATCTTGTCCCTGCCCTACCGGCAGTTACTGTCCATCTGGCAACGTTGTCCCTTTCTATATCAGCGCGGCATCACTAGAGAGAGCGAGTGATCGTTGAGCCCACATAGCAGAAGGAGATGCGGATCGGAATCATTCTAAGTTTTAAAAGCAAATAGGTGCATATAGTGACCGGGGTTGGGATCGAATAAATATACTAAGATCAAAACATGTTGATATGCCTTACCCCCGAATTTCAACCTCTGGAAAAAAATTCTGATAATAAAACGCCAAAAAACGAAGTTTGAGCGATTTTTATTTTTTCGTTTTTGGATTCTCTCTCCGCAGTCACTGGACAGAACTACAAAAAACCAAATTTCTCATTTTAGAAATTTTTCGTGATTACAAGACGTCCTCGCCCAGACGACTAGGGAGTAAAATTAGATATTCTTCACCTAGACCAATTTGATTGTCAATAGCTGATTGTTTGCATCATTTTTTTTGAGGATGAAGCACTTCATTCTTAAATAATGCTGACAATCTGGCATGTAATGTACGGACGTGGTCTAACGGTATCCAGAATAAAAATCAAATCCTATTGGTCGACTTCTTCAACGGAAAATACAGATGATTTAAATCTCTCAATTTGCGAAATTCATATACGTTTCCGCTAACATGCTAACGAAAGAGCGAAGATAAATTGGTTCAGCCTTGAAAAATGTATGAAAATAATATATTTCAATTATTAGAAATGGATATTTGTTTAGGGGTAGAATACCCCATTGCGCGCAGTTGTTTGATAACAAAAACATTATGATTTTCAAAATTACTGTAAATACGTGTTTTGGGTCTTGAGGACTTGCTGATTCACACTTTGATTTTTCGTTTTTTGTTTGTTTGTCTTTAGGTGCCAATCCAAATCACACTACCTCCACAACCTGGGTCAGATGGAACACAGAGAGTGCTAACTATCCAAGTCCCTGCATCTGCTTTGCAAGGAAACCAATTACAAAAGGTAAAATATTACATTTTTAAACCCTATTTTTGAAATCTCAATTCGATTAAGAATGTTTGCTGAGATATGTCTTCTTCACGAGTAACTATTAAGTTTTGACAGCTGATTTTTTTCAATAGTATATCATGATTTACACGATCAAAAGAAAACCTGTGTTTTAGGTTTTGACTGGCCCTGTGATCACTGCAACAATGGGACTTCCGGTCACTATAGCATCTTCACTGTTACAACAGCATGTTAATGCTGCTTTGAGTAGTCAGCAGCAGGCTCAAGGACAACAGCCGACTGTATTGAAAACTGTTGGCCAGACTGATGGAAATTGTGATTATGAGGATGGTGCAGGATGTAGCCAAGGTATATATGACAACGCTTCTCATGCAATTCTAACAGATAGCGCGCAGGGGAAATTTTTGCCTTCTTTGCAGTCCACGGGCTTGCAATTTTTTTATGTTATGCCATCATATGGATCAGCTAGCCCGATTGTTCAGCTTCAATAACCTGTTTTTAAAATCTCGATATGATGATTTGGCGTGGAGATATCAAACTTTGAATGAAAAAGGATCCTTTTGTCATCTACCACTGATATCTCAGTAAGTAGAGAATGTAAGGGTATCTTCGAAAACTGGAATAAAAGTCTTATAGGATTTGATTGCAATCACTATTGATTTTAAAAAGGTTAAAAAAGTCGCATTTTTGGAACTGCTAATGAGAAGGCTAATGTTTTTAGGTTTTTTTATTCCTTATTCCTCAATGTACCCTTAATAACCCCTAATAATCCAGTTTATCTGGACCGATTGGTTAAAGTTTGAAAATGATGCAAGTTTTGTGTCGGAACTTACTCATTTCGGTCGGATGCAACACTGAATATTTTCTAGATTGACCTCTGGTTAGTAGTTTGGTTTTTAGAATATTTCATGAATAAAAGAATAAAGTTTTTCAAATTGTTATTTTTGAAATTGAAGGTGTTACAGATATGCAATAGTAACAAAAGAAAAATGATTTTTTTTTATTTTCAACCTGAGAAACCGTACAATGGATCCATCCGCCGTCGTGTAGGGTTATTAGGGTAAATTGAGTTATAAAAAACCTAAAATTAGCAGTTCCAAAAAGGCTGTCACTTTTTTTTCATGCCCGTCGATTAAAAAGAAAAAACCTAAAAACTAGAATCTTCTAGCTTGAACATGCTTTCTTTAAAGTCTAGATACGATCATTTTTTTAACCGAAATACAATCTGTCGAAGATCACTGAAAAATTCGGACTTTTTTCTTTCTCCCTTAATTTTTTGAGTTGTGTATTAGAAGCGCTGTTTTGAGGTAACTGCTTTCCTGTGGAAATAGATCTATTATTATGATGACTATCTATTATGGCTCCTGTTGAAAAGCAGTTACAGGGCATTTGTAATATGTATATATCACATTTTCGCTCCTAAAAGTTTTCACACACTTGTAGTCCCAGAAGTCATCTGTACTAGTGTAAAGTTTTCTGAGCAGGGAACTCTGTTTCTGTTGTTCAAGTCTTGCCGGAAAATTGTTAGAAATAACATTATCGATGTAAACTGGATAATTGAAGAATGTAGTCACTACACAGGGTGCGGCAGCATAACATCTTTTTTTCAAAACTTAACAAAACGGAATGTGTGAATCAGAAGATTTTTGTTTTTTATAAAGTAGGCGTATGCCTAAAGCTCTGTTTTACATAGTTTTGAAGATGAAATCAGACAGGTGACGTCCCCCATTCTCTATACACTGAGTATACCGAATTCTGGCGCTTGTGATGATTCTTGCCAGCATAGCAGGCGTTATGTTGACAGTATGTTCCTGGTGTTGGTCTTCAAATATTGTAGGATCCTTGGATGGTTGATATTCACTCGGGATTTCCCAAAACCTATAGAAAAAAATTACAAGGGGCCAAATCGAGAGAGCGGGCTGGCCAGTGCAAATCGCCCCTAATCAAGATAAGGCGCTCTGGGAAGTGTTCCTTCAGAGCAGCCATTGATGTTCTTGAAGTGTGTGCTGTTTTCCGTCTTGCTGGAACTAAATGTGCTCCAATCCAACTCGTCTAGCCGTGGAAAAAAATCTTGTAACAAGTTTACATACCAGTCCAGATTCACTTGAAATGGAAATGAAGATCATTATAATGGGCCGAGAAACTCACTCTTCGTCTTGTCGCAGTTGCAATTTGTCTGTACGTAGTGACCCACGTAACAATTGATTTCCGGTTTGGGGCAGGGACGAATGAGGCTAAATTAAAGCGATTCCGGAAGGGTTGCGATCACAAAACATCTGCTTGAAACGAAGGAAGGTTTGCTGCCGCGCACTTTATTTTTCCATGCATTTTCTCCCTCTGCACAAGAATCTGATGTCAGAATTGGGGACGCTGGGCAATAAGAAAGTAATTCAGACATTATTATCACATATTTTGGTATTTTTTGTGGATGTGCATCTCTCAAGAGATCTCCACCAAAAATACTAAAATCGGTGATAATGTCTAAATTACCTTCTTATTTTTCCAGCGACCTCGAATTCTGCTACTTCAGATTCTTGTTCAACGGGATACATGAAAAAAATATAGTGGGACCCCCAGTACACACCACTTTCTTATTTTGTGGACCTGTGTAATTGACTGTAGCCTCAAAAATCTTGACCTAAACAGGATGATCCGTATATTGAGGTACATTCCTCTTCGTGTAATTTTCGCCTGTTTAATGATAAGAACCATTGTCAGATAACATAAAAGCTTTGTAGTGACCCTTCTTTCGTGATTTTTCAACATTTCATCCGAGAATATTTTTGCATATTTGTCTAATATCATTTTGTTAAACTGGCATAATTATTATTTTTTCAGTAAGAAGTAACGATATGCAGATAGAAAATATCTTAGTCAAAAAAATTGTACAGGGTGATAGTATGGATAATGATGATAGTGATGAGGGATTTAGTATAGAAATTATAGTGCCAACTACGAAAAGAAATAGGATAGGTAAGTTATTTTTCAGTGATATAAATAACAATATTTTCTCCACGTGTATTATGAAATACATAGATATTCAAAATCCACATAAAATGCTCCATAATTACTAGTGAAAAATCATTGCTTTTCCAACTAGAAGCTATTTGTATTGTCTTTTGGTTTTTAAAGGTGGAATAAAACAAATCGCTATAAATGCTGTACTTGTAGCACTTCTAAAGAGCTAAAATTATGAAAGCTCTTTTTATCACCATCTCATACAAAGTCTAGAACGAGATGGCGCTATAGTATCAAATTTTATCTCGCATATTTTTTTTGGACGCGAGAATGTAGCCTTAGGTTGGCTATCTTCAGGTAGAATACGTTAAATCAATGGATTGAGCCAAGGCCGCAATTTTTTCTCCGTGTCGATCTCTTATGTACGAGTACTTGTAAACTAACCATCGCATTCAAACGGCCCATGATTTTTGGAGTGATAATAACCATTGATCATAAATTATATTTTACTAGTCATGTAGACAAATTGTTTACTCAACTAGCAAATATTTCCATTATTATAAGAACAATTAGTCACAATGTAGGGTAAAGCACAGCCTTAAGTTATTTTGCTTTATTTGAGAGTAGATTGAGATATAGCATTCCCTTTTGAGGCGTCTGTTCCAAAATTGTTGAAAAAAGTTTATTCTACAAAAACGAACTATTAGATGGGTGGACCATCCATGTGTGGAAGGAAACATTTTGGGAAAATCTATTTATGACATGTTATACATGACATTTGAGGTCACATTTCTGAAATATTGGCAATTGGCATTCTTTCCTTCATATTTTCCAGGGTAGATGGTGGATATCTATAAACCTCTAGCTTAACGTAGCCCCATAGAAAGAAGTCCATCAGTGTCATATCTGGTGATCTAGGAGGCCAAGATATATTCACATCACGACCGATCCAACGATTGTTACTCCAGGTGTTCAAATAGTTATGCACACGATTATGATAATGCGCAGGTGCGCCGTCATGTTGGGAGTACAAATGCATCCGAGTTTGCAGGTCGACATCCTCCATACGCAGTTAAATGCTCGATCAAAAAATTCAAGTATTCTGTACCTGTTAATCTGTTGTCGAAAAGGAAAGACCCAATAACTTGTCTTCCAATAACCCCTCCCCAAACATTCAAGCTCCATTTATTTTGGAAATCTATTTGCCTAAGCCAGTAAAGGTTTTCCGTCGCATAATAGTGCATGTTATGCCTGTTGGCAACACCTATGCTATTAAAAGTTGCCTCATCGCTTAAAAAGAACCTTATCCAGAAAAGTAGAGTCTTCACTCACTTTATTTAGCATTATTCTACTAAACTCCATTCGTGCTGCGAAATCCTGAGGACGAAGGCCTTGATGTAGCATAGGTGATATGGATGGTACCTATGCCTGTGAATAATCCTTTGGACCAAAGTTCTGCATATATCAGTTTCTGCTCCAATTTGCCGTGCACTTAAGTGGGGATTTTCCTGTAACTTTAATAAAACCTCCACCTCATTGGTGACACTTGAATTATTTATACATTTTTTACTATATTCCACTGCTCCACTTGATTCAAAACGTTCTCTTAGCGTGAAAAATCTTTCGGGCCTTGGATGTCGCATATTAGGGTACCGTTGCTTATAAATGTCAGATGCTAGGAAACTATTTCTTTACCAAAACCCCATAGTATGTTAGATCAATTTTCTTCTTTTGAATTGGTTTATCCAAATATGCTACAAAATTTAAGGCATTCCATTTAAAAAATCACAACTTTGATATGTAGTAGGTCGAAATTGGGACACCCTGTATAATGGCCAATATTTTAGAAATGTGCCGTCAAATGTCATGTACAACATCACATAAATAGATTTTCCCAAAATGTATTTGTTTATGAATAATATTCGGTCCACACATGGATGGGCCACCCTGTATAGCTAAAGGCAATCCTAGAGCTACATCCAGGGCTTTATTTCCAAATATTAAAATACAGCAGACGCTCGATAACGTGAACACAAGATAATGAACACTTGCGCTAATGTAAACACAAACTTCGTCCTATAGGATCAAACGGAACGCGCGATAACGTAAACAATGTGTACGCTCGATAACGTAAACAACTCTCGGCGCACGGAAACAGCGCGACGGTAAAATGCTGAAGCCTCGATGATTTATGTCGGGTGTCGGGGAGTCCCCGATTTATGATGTAGAGTGTAGGGGATTCACCTCTGCGATAAAATACGACAAACTCGGTCAGTCGTATGATCGTTTAGGATACGTTTATACGTACGTATGTATTTCATTTTTGAACTTAAGTGAATACATTGCACGCGTTAATATATTTTACGACTATGGCATCCACATCCCATAAAAGAGTGTTTAAAGTTGAGTGAGAAAGTGAAAATCATAGACGAAGTTGCACTAGGTGCGGGAGTGACACAGCAAAAAAATATGGAGTATCGAAAGCAACAATCTGTAAAATTAAGCGTATGAAAACTCAAATTTTACAAGTGGTTTTTAAAACAACGGGAAAATCATGCCCCAGTTAGTGGCGAAGTACTTAAGCAGAGAGCGAGACTGTTAAATGAAAAACTGAAAGAAACTGAAAATTTCGTAGCTAGTGATGGCTGGCTACAACGATTCAAAAGAAGATATGGAATTCGACTACTGTCTATATCTGGTGAAAAATTATCAGCACAACCACAATTAGTGCAACCATTCAAAGAAAAATTGATGAAAACAATTACCGAGCTAGATTTAAGAATGGAACAAATTTACAACGCAGATGAAAGTGGCCTTTATTGAAACATGTTACCAGAGAAAACCCATGCTGCATCATTTGAAAAATCTGCCCCGGGAAGAAAGCCGGAGAAACAACGATTAACGTTTCTAGCCTGCACTAATGCTAATGGTTCACACAAAATAAAGCCACTCGTAATTGGGAAAGCAAAAAAATCCACGCTCATTTAAAAATGTTAATATCCCTGTTGATTATGACTGTTCAAAAACCGCTTGGATGACTAGCAGTATATTCCTGAAATGGTTCCACAGGTGCTTTGTCCCTCAGGTATGACAATCAATTATCACTAATGCTCTATTCATAATTTGAAGATGTGTTTTCAATTTGTAAGTAAAAGGTTTCCTAAAACAACAGAAGCTTCCAATAAAAGCGTTGTTACTATTGGATAATGCACCAAGTCATCCTCCCGAGCAACAACTGAGGAGCAGGGATGGGTCAATTTTCGTCATGTACATGCCCCAACGTAACACCGTTAATTCAACCGATGGACCAGAATATAATAAGACTCACCAAACTATACTATAGGACGTTTCTACTTTCGTCTGTCTTATCAAAGAATGCTGAAAACTTATCTGAGGCTTTAAAAAAAGTAACATTACGAGAAGCTGTTTTAGATTTACATATGGCCTGGAATGAACTTAACCAGCAAACTATTCAAAAATGTTGGAACAATGTTGTCCCCTTAAGCGTAATTAGAGAACGCGATCCAATAATGATAATGTTATTAGTGTGTCATTGGATGTTGTTGATTTTTTGAAAACAGTGAATCCCAACATTGTTTGTGCTCCTGCTGATATTAATTTATGGAACGAAGATAAGCAGACGAATGATGCTGATAAGGAGGAGGATATGGACAGTGAGGATGATGAGAACGATCCCATTGAAGTCAGAAGTGTAGTGACTGACGCGCAAGCTATACAAGTTTTTAACCAAGCTTTAGATTGGGCTGAAAGAAAAGAAGTTTCATACACGGATATTTTAGTTATTCGTAAATTACGGGCGCAGGCATTGGAAGACAAAAAAGCGCAAATTTATGCAGACAAAAATTGTTAATTCTTTTTCTTCTAATTAAAAAAATGCTTATCGCTGTTAGAATATTTGTTTAATTTGTTATAGTATATATTAAACGTTTCTTTTAATAAATCAAATATTATATAAATCACGTTCGCTAATGTAAAGATTTCGATAATGTGAACCACACTTGGATTAAATTAGTTTACATTATCGAGCGTCTACTGTAATGACTGACGTTTTTAAATTCGTACGCCTTTTTGGCCAACCCTCTATGTAAATCATATTATACCATGTATGAGGTCTACAGTTCACCTACTGAAGATCCACATTATGTGATTGATATACATAGTTTAGTTCTAAGTTAGCTTGGTCACTAAGAGTGATTTATTCTTCAGACAATGTTTATCTATCCAACCTTGTATATTTCCAGTTTCCTCCCAGAGCAAACGCACCACCCACCAACGGCCGACTCCCGGCACCTCCTCGTCCGCCGATCCGACGCATCCCGCGCAATGCGACGGCGCAGCAGACACTTCGGATGACGACGATGACGCGTCCGATGACGCAGACGGCGATGACGATGATCCCGACGATGACAAGCAGGACGATGACGACGAAATGGAGGATGAAGGAGGCGAAGAAGAACCGTTGAATTCGGAGGATGACGTTACCGATGATGATCCGGCGGATTTGTTTGAGACGGATAATATCGTCGTCTGTCAGTATGATAAGATTATCAGGTGAGTCGGTCGTTGAATAATATGTGTATTTATCCGAAAAAATGACGTCAAGTAGGTTGATTCTGCACTTCCTTGTCATCAATGCATAACATGTTCGAGGTCTATAAATTGAGTGTTGAGGATGATTTTTTTTAATTTTTAGTCAAGTATAACTAGAATTTTATATTGTCATAAGGCAGTGGCGGCTCGCAGCAAAATAAAACAGGTGTTCTGCAAATCCGAACTTTCCTATTTTTTATATGTCAGTTCGATCCCGCGCTCCTTCTTGGCAGCAAATTTGTCGATCACCTTCCCGTTGAAATTTTCCATGGTCGAAATAAATTCCTTTAATGGACATCGCTGTAAGGTCATCCTGGGTCATAATATTTCGAAGAAAGGTCTTGATTCTTTTCAATGTTGTGAAATTTCGCTCAGCCTCTGATGGTGACATAGGAGTTGTAACAATAATTTCTAATAGCTTTTTTGTTCCTTTTAGTGTTTCCTCCAAACTATTTTGTATCGAAAATATCAAAAGAGACAGAGTTCCATGTAAATCTCGGCAATCATTCCGTGCATAAATATCAGACAACTCTGTCTTTAAACGACTTTTTTCTAATTCGGGATAAGCCAAGCAGGTAGTTTCCAACTTGTCATCAGGAAACTTACCACAGTATTCTCCAAAGTGTTCGGGGAAAAAAAAGGGATGCGCCTACCAAATGATCTTTGAATTGAAATCTGTCACTCATTGCGGCTATGTTTTCACGAGTACGAGCTGGACGAGCATGTTGGTATGGTCTACGACCTTCAGCTGAACCAGTTTCCTCAAAATGATTAACAATCCAACGGATTCCAGGCTCTGTAGTGCGTCCATGTCGGCCAAAACTAGTGCGAAGTTTGCGAAGAGTATTTTTTATATTTCGACCGTTTTCGTAATAAGTTTGGATAACCAAAATGCGTTGTTGTCTTGTAAACGAGTCCATGACTATAAATGGCATACCTTTGACAGTTCATTTATGCATTCCACATGACTTTTGACTCACATGATAACACAATCTTATAGGTAAAAAAAAAGTAATAGATGGCGCACCCAGTACATTCGCCAAAATTGATATAAACTACACACAGCTCTATGTCAGGAACAAATTAAAACGGATTAAAAATATTTAAAAACGAAAGTTAAAATTACATCGTGAACCGCCTGATGCTGCACAACATGGTGTTGCACAGGATCATAAGTAGGATGAAACATTTGACAGATGACAGGTTGGTGGTGTCAGTGTCGATGGATGGAACGAAAATTTTTGTAAAGATTGTGCTATGTTGCCCAATCACTTCAGATGGTGTGATTTATCAAGATATGTTAAATAAGAATTTGTCACAGACCAGATGCAGTTGAACAAACTATATTAGTGCTGAGATGGACAATTGAATTAAACAATTATTTTATTATAAAAAAAAACAATTATTCAAATTTGGATGGAATGGAAATTTTGGAGGGAAAAGGTGGAATAGACCAAAAAACCAGATTACATTTATGGTCGTGAAAAGTCAAAATTTGGAGTGATGGTGCTCCAACTTTTCGCAGTTTAGCAAATATGAGTAAATGACGCTCATAGAGTGCCCTGTTGTATTGACATGAGATACCAGAGCACATCTCTCGGGATGAACCCTAGAATCACTTTTGTGTGATGAAATCCTTCCTTTTAGAGATCTGGAGGTCTGACCTTTGTATATTTGGTTGCAGTTATTGCAATTGATAGAGTAAACTGTGTTGGTTCAGCCAAGCAGCGGGTCTCTGTCTTTCATCTTTGAAAAAATACAGTTTATAGTCAGGACGGATTTGCAAGGAATTCGACAGTTCAGCGGGCTACATAGACTGATCAGCTTAGGGGTCAGTTCTTTAATATAGGGTAGGACAGCAAAACCAGATCTGGAATTTGGGATGGCGGTTATATTGTTATTGGTGTTGTTGTTAGGAATTATATCAGTTCTGTTATTAGGAGTAGTGAGAATATTACTTGCATTAGTAGAATTTGGTAAAATACTGGAAGGATAGCTGAACAAGATCTTGTTAATCAAACACTTCGGATAACCATTGTTGATGAACAGTTTTGATAGCTTCCGTAAATTTGAAGTATTGAAAGTACAGGGTGGCCCATAAGTCCTTTGAGCTGGAAAAAAAGGAATAAAACCAAACTAGTTACATTATGAAGAATTATTATATTTTGTTATCATCTTTATTGAATGGGAATTATGTTTTAAAAAACCCCATCGTCTAAATGCAATCCATTACGATCACGGCACTCATATAAACGACGTCTAAAATTGTCGATGACTGCGCGGCAAGTCAACACTCTAATGCTTGCCATTTCTCTTCGGATATTTTCTTTCAGGACATCAACTGATCGCGGAGTGGTGTCGTACACTTTACTCTTGAGGTAGCCCAATAAAAAGAAGTCCATTGGGGTCAAATCTGGACTACGTGGTAGCCAGGAAATGTCTCCTCTTCGAGAAATTACTTTGCTGGAAAAAGTTGACAGACGACGGGCATAGAAGTGTTGGATGTGTGGGCAGTTGCTCCGTCCTGTTGAAACCAGGTCTGCGTATTACAGCCTGGAAAATTCTGCAACGCTGGTGACAAAAACTCTTCTATCATTGCTACATACCGCTCCGAAGTAACAGTTAATGCGCGACCTCTGTCGTCCTCAAAAAAATAAGGGCCTACGATGCCATGCGCTGACATAGCAGCCCAAACTGTAACTTTAGGGCTGTGTAAGGGCTTCTGATGCTTACGCCTTGGATTTTCGGGGCTCCAATAACGGCAATTTTGTTTATTTACGTAGTCATGCCATAAGTTCTGTCCCTCGTTTTCAAACAAGTGTAGACCTGTTAATACTGTTGGACCAGCGAAAGATTGCAAGCCGAAAGAATGCGGACAAAAAATTGCGAAGTTGTCAGATGTTCTACATAAAATGCGGTCCATACATATTAACATATTTAAGATATAGAATTGTTCCGCTGAATTTGGCAATGTAGCTGGAAAACCCAGGCCGCAGGTAAACATCCGGTCGCTGATTGGTCCAAAACTCTTATCTTATCTGAAACTAGAATAACGTGCCGATGGCACGGTCATTTATAAACCTACTCCCATAGGCGTAGGCAGTTGGCAAATACTTTGAAAATATAATTTACTGTTTAGTGGTGATAATGGAATTCAAGCATGGGAAAGTTATTCACAGCCAGGCAAGGGAAATAATAGCAAACGTGATACGTGCTTGCGATGCAGAAGCGGCTAACAATACTTTCGTTTATCCACTGGTAGCTAGAAATGCAAGGGCGGCATATTATACGGGTGTTAGTGAACGAACTATAAGTAAAATTAGAAAAGAAGATAAAGACAGGCAAAATGCAACCTCCACACAGCCTTTAGCTTCTCCCGGAAAAAAGAGATCACGCCCTTCTGTGATCCAAAAAATTGATGGAGTCGATTTTTCCATTATTCGGAGAATGATAGAAAAATTTTACTGTGATTTTAAAGTGGTACCTACTTGTAGTAAACTTCTAATCAAACTGAAGGAAGAAATGGAATTTCCATTTGGTAAAGAATCGTTGAGGCTGCTTTTAAAAGCAAAAGGATTTTACTGGCGTAAATGCCACAACAAAAGGAAATTACTAATGGAAAGACCCAGTATTTTACATTGGCGATACAAGTATCTTAGGTCTATTAAAAAGTTCCGGGAAGAAGGAAGGCATATTATTTATTTGGACGAAACTTGGGTTGATAATGACCTCACTTTCAAGAAATGCTGGCAAAGCGAAGAAATTATGGGTGTCCTGAGCAATATAAGTTCTACAGGTAATAAAGTTTCTTTCACCTCGATTTTGCTTATTATACATTTTTCTCAATTTTGGAATATTCTTAATAAGTGCTCATTTAATTTGTCTAATTGAATACATAATCCCTTGCAAGTATTTTTTTCTCAAAAATATGTTTTTTATACATAGTGATTCAAAAAGGTGTTGGCAAACTTAAAATAACACTAAAATGAGGCTATTTATTCATTTCCAGGACGACTTATAATTGTTCATGCGGGTTCGCAAGATGGTTTTGTTCCTGGAGCCTGTCTCATTTTCAAGGCTGGCTGTGCCACTGGTGATTATCACGGTCAAATGAACCAAGAAAATTTCACGAAGTGGCTTACTGAAAAACTATTTCCTAACATTCCTCCTAATAGTATTATAATAATGGATAATGCACCTTACCATTCAGCTTTGGAAGACAAGCCTCCAACTAGATCTTCTCTAAAAAGAGACATCATCACGTGGTTGAGCAAAAAAGGTATAGAGCATGATCCTAATGCTAAAAAAATGGAGCTTTATGAAATAGCTTGTCTACATAGGCCACCATCTGATGAGAAAAATTATAAGATAGATAATTTAATAAGAAGTTTCGGACACACCCCACTTCGAACGCCACCCTATATGTGTCAGTTTAATCCCATAGAGATGATTTGGGCACAAGTAAAATTTTTCATTAGAAGCCATAATACAAGCGGCGAATTTACTATAAAAAAACTAGATGAAATTTCTAATAAGGCCATCGCTTCAGTAAGTGCCAGTGACTGGCAAAAGGTTATTGGACATGTTATAAAAATTGAAGATGAATATTGGGAAAAAGACAGTCTCATTCAAGAAATACAGGAAGAAATAATAATCAACATAGGAGGTGAAAGTGATAGCAATGACAGTTCCTCAGACAGTGATCATGACTCTAATCAGGATTGAAACTATACTAGATTGGCTACCTTTTAGAATTTTTAGATATTCATTTATTATACTATTGGTTTGTGGCTTTTAGTATCTCAGTAGAAAGTCTAATTCTATGTGTTGTTTATGGGTTATTTCATCAAGAAATTACTTTTTGTTTTCCTATATTTTTCTATTCAGTCAGATATTTTTGACTTGTTGTATTCTATTTTAGAAGAATGCATAATTTGTTTTGCTGTTCAATCATAATGCGTACATAGGAATATTACTTGTTGCCTAAAAAATATATTTATTTTGTTCTCAATATTCAGTGTTTGTGTATATTTATTTCTTATAATGTATGTTTGGTATCACGTCATTATGAATCGCAAAAAAATATTAATACTACCAGTTGTAATAAAATATAAATTCAATTAATAATTCAAGTCTCTCCGATCTCCGCCTATGACTCCATATAAAATCGTCTAATGGTAAGGTTTTTTCATCGCATTTCCCCCTTTCGTCCCTAGCAATCTTTGGCTGGTCGATCTATACTTGTCCGATTGTTTACATTGTGGTGTCAGTTGATTAAGCGCTTTTCGGGTAATTACATATACCTCAGTTTGTATTGATCTCTCGAAGCATAACGATGGAGTGGGGCAAGGCAGAGAACCGTATTGCAGTGATAGCTTTACATAAGTGTAATCACAGTGCTAGTCAGATTTTTGAACTCTTACGCGGCCTTCAAATATCGCGTAAATTTGTGTCTAGGACCATTCAGCGGTACAATGAGACGTCCTCTGTTGATGACAGGCCAAGAAGCGGAAGACCTCGTCAAGTAAGGACTCCAGCAGCCATCAAAGCCGTAAAAGCCAGGATTCAAAGGAATCCACTCCGGAAGCAGAAGATCCTATCCAGGGAAATGAAGATTCCTGTCCGGACGATGTCGCGCATCATTAAACAAGACCTAGGGCTAGGGGCTTACCGGAGACGTACGGGCCAGCGACTTACGGCCACCTTGCGACACATCAGGGCGACAAGATCCAAGAAGCTCTTGGAGAGGTACGCAGCTGGGGGATTCCGAAAGATTTTGTTCACGGATGAGAAAATCTTCACCATAGAAGAAAAATTCAACCGATAAAATGACAAAGTGTATGCAAGGAGTTCACAGGAAGCTTCGGAGGTCATTCCGAGAGTTGAGAGAGGCCACCACCCTGCGTCAGTCATGGTTTGGTGGGGGGTGTCCTACGAAGGGGTCACTCAGCTCCATTTCTGTAAACAGGGCGTGAAAACAAAAGCGGCAAACTATCAGAGCGACATACTGGATCCTATCGTCAAGCCTTTAAGTGGTACATTGTTTGCCAACCAACACTGGGTCTACCAGCAGGATTCCGCCCCCGCTCACAAGGCTAAGAGTACGCAGCGCTGGCTGGAAAGCAATGTGCCAGAGTTCATTGCTGCGGAAGATTGGCCCTCAGGGAGTCCGGACCTCAATCCTTTAGACTACAAGTTGTGGGACCTGCTAGAGCAGTTGGCCTGCTCCAAAGCCCACCGTAATATCGAGTCCCTGAAAGCGGATTTGATCCGATCAGCGGCAGCTATTCCTTTGGAAGCTGTGCGTGCAGTGATAGATGAGTGGCCCGCGAGATTGAAGCAGTGTGTGAAGGCCAAGGGGGGACATTTTGAATAAAACTGTTTGATTATGAATTCTAAAAATGTTGTCGAATAAATAATATCTTTCATATAAATATATCTTATCTTGTTTCATTTTTATCATGAGATTATCATGGGACAGAACTTATGGCACGACTACGTACATGCCCGTTTAAATGGAAGTGAGCCTCGTCCGAGAACAACACATTATTGAGCGAAGAAAATCGATTCAACATTTCATTCGCAAAGTTTAGTCTCTGAATAGCGTCGTTATCTTTTAATTCCTGCACTAACTGAATTTTCTAAGCGTGCAGACGTAAATCTTTCCTTAAAATCCGCTGTAAAGATGTTCTGGGTACGTTTAGTGCACTGGAACGCTTACGAGTAGACTGGGTTGGATTTTGACGAACAGACTGTGCCACAATGTTGATGTTTTCTTCAATACGAGTTGTCCTTGGTCGACCCCACCGCTGTTTATCTAACGTCGAACCAGTCTCTTCGAACTTAGCAACCCAGTTCTTAATCGTTTGAGCTGTTGAACACTTTGTAAAATTGTGGTATTCTCGATATTTACGCCGCGCAATGGTTGCCGAATCATTATTTTGATGAAACGCGCGCACACAAAAAGCACGATCCGCTCCAGTGAAACACTCCATGGCGACTGAATTCCCAGACACTGAAGATACTGCCCCCACCTCGCCCGCGCCGCTCACGCTCACCCGTTAAATTTTATTCAAATTTAAAATTTCAAAGGACATGGACCACCCTGTATTATCAGAGACGCTGATTACCCTTGTTTTCATCTGCTTCACCAAGTTGATTTTAATCCTTACTTTATGGTATGCCCTAAAATTGAGGAAACGGCCTAAGGCCTTGGGTTTCTTGTACCAGTCTACCAATAAACTATTATTGTTGGTGCGGATGACTCTTGTGTCTAGAAAGGGGACAGACAGGTTGTCATCTTCTTTTTCAATGGTACATTGGATGTAGGGGTCATAGCTTAGGCAGCAGCGGTGGCCGCAGTAGTAGACTCTTCGGTCTCCTGATCAGTCGCCGTGCGCTGTGCGGGTTCGAGTCCCGTCCCAGGAGAAATTTTCCTCTTGGCTATGGGTGTTGTGATTGTCCGTAGGTGGTAGACGGTTTCTGACTGTCGAACGCGGAGGCACCACCCGGCGGATCTCGTAGGCGGAGCCAGAATGTGTGCATGTTGCATGCACACGTGTTCCCTCGCCAGAGCCCGTGTGGCGTTCCCCCTTTCCCCCGTATCCGCTTATAGCCACACGATACCGAATGGGTGTTTAGGCCTTAGACCTTCGTGGTAGTTGGAGTATAAAAAAAAATAGCTGTTAAAATCTCGGACAATACTATTCAACATGATCCCACAACGCTTCCGTATTGTTGAAACGTTTTACTTAAATAGTGTGTCGATTCGGAAGCTAAGACAAGATTACGGTCGAAATAATGGGCCCAGTGTCAACACCATTCGTCAGTTGGTGCAGAAATTTGAACAAAAAGGTGAAGATAAAGACTTGTCAAAGTCGGACCGTGTTCGAACTGTTCGTACTCCGGAAAATATCGAGAGAGTTCGTGAAAGTATAGTGGAGCGCCCTGAGGCGCCTACCAGACATCGTTCTCAATAACTGGGTATTCGTCGCACTATTAAAAAAAAAAGACTTTGCATTTGCGGCCATACAAAATTCAGTTAACCCAAGAACTACAGCCTAGTGACCATGAAGGTCCCCATTTTACAAATATACAAGGTACAAACCAGTCAGTTACATATCGGCCACCCTGTACAAGACTTTCGATAACACAAATGTTTACCATAAGATGCGACCTATCTGCAGTTGCAGGATCATGCTTCACCCTGTATATAAAATTATTTTGTTACAGGAATAGGAACAAGTGGAAATTCTATCTGAAAGACGGCATAATGAACCTGAACGGCACCGATTACGTTTTCCAGAAAGCGACGGGCGACGCCGAGTGGTAATATAAAATTCAGTTGTTCTGATTTAGTTGAAAGACAAGAAAGACTTTGCGTCGTTTGCGATACAGAAGCATGCCACGGATACGCGCCCTGTCCTACTATTGAGTTTTTATTATAGACTTAACCGCGAAAAACGATACTGCGACTGATTTTGTAACTTCAAAAAAAAAAGATAATTGTCGAAACAGAGATACACTAATAACATACTTTAGCAACTATTCTGAGGTTTAATGGAGCATTTTTATTTTGATATTTTTAAGCGGGCGCATTTAGAGAATGGCATAGCTATAGCGCATAATTTCGATGTCTATTTGTTTCAAATAAGCGTTGACAAGGCGTAATAGCAATGCCTAACTCTAAATGTTCCTAATGAGGTTGATAATGTGTTCAAGAAGTGTCTTTGATAAGTCGAATTGTCTTTGTCTATTAAATACCCAAACACCGCGAAAAAGGTTTGTCGATGAGCTCAAACATGACGTAGATAAATTGCTATTTGGAGGTCACGTTTGCAAATTCAAATATCAACCACCTTTGTTTACAGCAGATTCGTGTCGAGACCGAGGTTCTAGATCATTGTTTTCCAAGCTTATCTAAACCCCCTTTTTGTTAAAAACACTGTTCGCGATCCCCTATTTCCCCCTACTTATCAGACAAACCAAAATAGAGATAAAAAAACGTGCCTAATTTCAAAGTACCTGATGGTTTTTAAAATTTCATTTTACTTTACTGTTTGAGCTTGAACCAAATAGGATTGCGATTTCAGTTTACAAAATGACCTCTGAGGGCATTGTTCATATCATAGCACATCGACAAATTCCTTTACAAATATACTGAAACTTTTCTTAGAACCCTTTTCTCAAAAAATTTGTGATGGCAAAGTTTGCGGTGTACTTTTCAAATGCTTCAGTAGGTCATACTAATTGAACCACACTGACTTGACCTCATATATGAAAATGCACTCTTTTGTAAAAGCTCCAGCCCGAAACGAATCTGCTGTCAAAAATGGTGGCTGTCATTTTCAAGGTCGTATTTGAGGTCATTGACAAATTGCATTTTTGATATCCTGTAACTTTGGTAGTGGTGTATTTGGGTAGTGTGGTCAGATAGGAATTTTCATATTGTTATTATGTATACAAAGGTGCTGCCTTAACAGTCCTGGACATACTTGATGAATGGTTCGATCCAGTTTCTAAATTGAACATATTAAATTCTTATGTTGACTTGTTCACATACTGACCAGTATTCTTGAACATTTGGCATGTCAGTTGAGTTAAAAAATCTGTTTAAGTAAATCCAACCCATGCTGAAGCCATTATAGACTAGGATGTCTAGAATTTGAGCGTTTTAAAACATCTTATTGCCTGTTTTATAACGAAATTATACTCTTGACGGTATATGGAGAGAGATACAAAATATTTTGCTGGCTAACTTTTTTACTAAACGTCAAAGTTGTCCGTTAAATTCACATTCATGTTCGATGGTTAAATTCACATTCATGTTCGATGGAGGAATTTTTTTCTGAAACAGCGTTTTAGCTAAATTGTGTATTGAATCTTTGGTGAATCAATCTGAAAAATTTGCCTTTTGTGATATTGATACTATATCGTTGCTGGAGTATGTTATTTTTTTATAACTATTGTTATTTTTATGGGCATTACTTAACCTCATATGTACATCAACCAATATGCTATTGCTAAATTACATATCATTTTGATGTGCATAACATTCAAATTCGATATTGTAGATATTTTTTTTAATACTTTCCACAGCATATGTTCGGATTGCTTCTTTGAATTAATTGTTTTTCTCTATCAGCGATCTTAAGTTCATTATAAGTGTATTAATTCAGCTACAGTGTGAAGCTGAGTATTAGCGTCAACTAATCGGTTTCATTTGAGCGTGGATCGTGGAAAAATATCTTTCGTTGCAAGATCCATATGAATGCATATCAATAGATGAATTAAGTAAATGAGATTGTGGGTTGTGTAGATATGAGGTTAGACGTATATTCAATAAGAAATTATATGTGCTCGTTTTAGTGCCAGACCTCAGTGCAAGTCAAAATACATGTATTGCTGAATTCCTTTGATCCGATCAAATCGATCATGTCATCAGTTTCCCGTTGTGCTCTTTCATGTCTATATTATTTTCTATACAATGTTTGAAAAGCGATCGAAATAATTAGTCTAATCATATTAGACGAAAACTCCTGGTACGCGAAATAATTGTAAAGTCTCGTTTTATTGATGCAAGTTGTTCAAGGGGGTCTTTAAATCACGGGTATACCAATTTTTGTGTCAAAACTTTTTATTCGACAACAAAGAATGAGAAAACTTGTTTTTTGGGATTCAATCGAAAGTGTTGGCGGGAACGAAAAAACTCTTCAAATCGGATTTTTAGGTATTTATGAGACCCACAGAACGAGACGACACTTAAAAAGATCCGACTAATAGTAAAAAAGTAATGGCCGAAAACCGAGGCAAGATGCACTTGTTGGTAATGCGACGATATTTTCACGCAGATACTTGAAATGCTTCAAATTTGTAGGCTTCATACTTCTAAATAACGACAACAAAATTGGAGTCGATTGGTCAAGTAGTTTTTGAGAATTTGCTTCGGTTTTCGGCCATAACTTTTTTACTATCAATCGGATCTTTTTACGTGTGATCTCGTTCTGTGGGTCTCATAAACAACTAAAGTTCTTATTTAAGAGTTTTTTGGTTAAAGACAACATTTTCGATTGGATCCCATAAAACTTGTTTTCTCTTTTTTTGCGTCCATGTTTTAAATACCCCCTTGAACAACGTGCATCAGTAAAACCAGACTACACAATTATTCCTTGGAAATTTTCTAATATGTTTAGACATTTAGCATTTAGCTGATTTCATCATTTTAATTTTCTAGTCAGCATTACTGCTGCCACCTTGATAAGTCTGAAAGAATACAGCTATTATCTACACTTATTCTATTGTATTATTACTACAATGATTTATACTGTAATTCTTTGTCCATAAAAAATTACCAGAAAGTGGTAGTCAGCATTGATAGTTTCAGTATTTTGACTCGCTGTATTGAAACTTGTTCTGAGTTCTGGTTTCAAATTGCCTTTGTAAGTGTCTGATATGTTGTCACAAGTTGCAACGTATTTTACTAATTCTTGCCTGTATTAGGCAATATCGATTATTGTGATGGGCAGAAATAGTTGTTACCATTATTTCCGTAAATTTTCGTTCTTGTATTTTGTTTTTTCTTAATTCATCTTAGATGAGTATGAAGCTGCCAAATCAGTAATTGTATAATTTTTTTGGTTGAGTGCAATTGTGTAAATTCTATTTTGTTAGTGGGGTCAGATTTTTAATAATTTATTTTGTACATACAAAACTCACCGTTCAATTAGTTTCTCTATGTATTTTAAATATATGCTGCAGCAGAAATTAGCGTTTTTTATTATTATTGCTAGGCGCAGATCCCAAACCCTCGGTTATGTGCGTGCCTAAAGTATTTTTCGCGTAGTTTTGAAGGTCAAATTAGATATGTGATGTCCCGCATTCCCCATACACTGAGTAAAGCGATTTACCTGGCGTTTGTAATGACTCTTGCCAGCATGGCTGGAGTTGTGTTGGCAATTTCTTCCTAGAAAAAAAAAACAAAAATCACAACGGATCAAATCACCCCTAATTGAAACGAGGCGATCTGGGAAGTGTTCGATGCTCTTGAAGTGTGAGTCATTGCACAGTCTTTTGGAACCAAACGTCCTACAGTATATTCAGATAAGAGATAGACCGGACATAAACAAGACCACGTGATCATCGAACGCTGTAACATTCGGCAGGGACGTATTAAGAGTCACGCAGTACATATTTTAGATAGTAGATGCTGCTTTGCGTAACTTTGTAGTAAATTAGCACAATTCGATGTGTATACGATTGGTGATGGATATAGGATCATGTGATAATGATGTAAATATACATAAGGGTTTCAAAATTTTCGCTTCGATTTCCAGCTTCGGATGCCGCCTGATGTTTGGTGAAATACAGTCGAATATAATCTCAAAATGGCGTTTAAATTAGCCTAAATTAAAAATAATCGTATATCTCTTAAAATTGCTTTTAGAATATTGATTAGTATATTTTTTGATTTCTAGGTAAATATGTATGTAACCAAATTAAAACGTTCAAAACGTAAAAAAATGTGCATGGTTGAACATTGTCAGAAAGTAGATTCTTGAATAGGTTTTGCCAAAATGGGTTCAAAAATGTCAATAATTAATTAAAAAATACAGTAGCTTTATAATTACTTATAACTTACCGAATTTGATGAACGACATCTTTTATTGGAAATATGAGCTTGATGAGCTTTCATCATCGCTACTGCCTGAAGCACCAACGTCAATAATGAATGGCTCGACTTGTTCCTCTAAAATATTGTCCAGTTCCCACATTCTCTTTTCAACTTTGTCTTTCACGTGCTTAATACAGTTTTCCCATTTTTGCGCTGTTATTAATTCTAGTGCTTCTTTGAAAAGTTCTTTGAGGTCACAAAATTTAAAAGTTGTATTGTGCTTAGCTATATAATTTTTAACCTCTGCCCATATGAGCTCAATGGGATTGAGCTCGCAATGGTATGGAGGTAAACGGAGCACAATTTTATTTTGACTTGCTGCCATTTCGTCAATGGCGTATTTTTGATATTCCGCCTTGTGATCCTTGACAATTCTTAATAATTGTACTTTCAGCATTGCTTCTTCAAAGTTGATATTTTTCGAGCGGAGCCAATTTTGAACATCAACTTTCCTTGAAGCCGTTGTTGGGACCTTCTCCATTCTTCGAGAATGATAAGGCGCATTATCCAACACAATTACTGCGTTTTCCTCTAAGTTCGGTAAAATTTTAGAAAACCACTGTTCAAACGATTCGCCATTCATTTCCTCGTGGTAATCTCCAGTTTTCTTAGACTCAAAGCACCACAGACCGTCAACAACAAATCCATCCTCACTGCCAATATGGCAGATAATGAGCCTTTTCCCTTTACCTGGAAATCGAAGTACTAACTGGTGTAGATTTATTTCAATAAGCGAACCTTTTTCAAATGTTTTCATCACATTCAGCGAAAAAACATTGAGACATGAGTATCAGATTGCTATAATTGGGATTATTTAGTCATATTGAAAGAAAGAATATTGAACGTCGTATGATTACTCAGCGCTTCACAATTTAATTTAAAGTTATAAACCTTTAAAAAATGAATGATCAGGAACCTGAAATACGCGCAAATATTAATATTAACAAATTATAACTTTATAAAGCTTAAAGTATGAATTAAAATGATTAGAAATATTAGGAACGGTACACTATATAAAACTTAGTAACTTTTTTTAAGTTTATAATATTCGACATATTTTAAGATTATATTAAAAAATTATTGAAATATCGAAAACACATAAAAACATGGCTTAAAAAAGTTCTAACAAATGAAAATGACAATAAAACATCCACGCATTTTATCGAAAGTTATAAAAGTTTTGTTACTTGTAATATGTTTTATCTGCCCCCTGGAATTAATGTTTAGAACCTTGTTCCCAAGGTTTGAAAAACATCCGATTGTTGTCTATTACTCGTATTTACCTGCTGGATTTTTTAATCCGGTGGACAGTCCATCTAGAAAGGCCCTCCTGGATGAAGTTACAGAATCATCAACCCATACTTTACTTGTAGTGTGTCCTGCGTTTACCCACGTTTCATCAAGGTAATAAATCTTCCTGTTTTGATTTCTATATTTCCCATTTTTTATTAAATAATCCCTCCTCCATAGCACAATTTCTTCTCTATCCAGTAGTAAACTATTACGACCCCGTTTTTTCCATTTGAAATTTAAATGCTTCAGTAACGCATGGAAAGTTGATCGTTTGAAATTTGGCAACGTTGTATCTCCATTTACCTCCTGCAGTACTTTATCTATAGTAGGTATTTCATTCCTAAAGAAGAATTCATGCACTTTCCTCCTAATCGCATGCTTATCAGCTTCATACAATGATTTAACAATACTTTTGCGATGTTTACTGGTCATTGGCTCAGAAAAGGTGTGATTTTTTTTGTATTGTCTTAACACATTAAACACTGATGCGCGACACACCCCAACTTTGTGAGAAACCTTCACAACAATTTCTTTGATGGTTGATGCCTCGTTCTCCTCGCGCTCGATCTTATATATATTCAAAATGACCTCTTTCATTTCTGCACTCAGGTGTCTTTTTTAAAGCGTTTCCTAGGTGGACTACAGGAGTTTACAACTTCATCGGCAGTATCTGTACTACTGGGCATTTTGCGCAAGCAGTTGATAACAATAACAATCAATAACAAGGTATAACAATAACAACGACAAACTCAACAACTTAATAAGATAACAAACGAAAACGTCCAAAGAAATATCAAATTGCAATGATGCACACGACATACGTAACACGTCTGAACCTGAGTGTGACTCTGCCTTGATACGACTGCTCTGCCGCTCGGCATACGCATTTAATTGCGAATTGACCAATGAGGGCTCCTGTTTTACGTCGAGACGGCGGCGTTAGCGTGAAAATCACCCGAACCTTTTGTTTACATCCGGTCTATCTCTTATCTGAATATACTGTAGTTGTGGAAAAAAAATCCTGTAACATGTTTACGCACCGGTCCGAATTTGCTGTCACTGCGACTTCAAAACCAGGGTCCAATAATTCCAGCTGAGGAAATTGCACACCACACTGTGACTTCAGATGAAGGCAAAGGCACACAAATGAAAATGAGCGTTTTCACTAACAAAAAAAAAATAGAGTTCTCCTTGCCGTTGATGCGCTTTCATGAAGAATGTGTTGCTAAATAAACTCATTTTTTTCATTTATTTATTTCAGTTTTCAATAATCTACATTATTGAGAATATAAAATAAATTATGTACACTAATATCAACATACTTAACTACAAACTAATTTACATAAAATTGAGCTATCCATTATCCTTTATTAGAAGTATTTTCAAGTAAAAAAATATAACAAATTAATGCTATATTCCTAGTTTAGTCTGATATTGTCTTTTGCTTCATATATTTTTCCAGTTTCAGAGTGGATAATTGGAGATCATACTCCAAGTATAAAAATATAACAATTGTTCATGATCCACTGGTAACCATATATCACAGGATAACATTTTTCTATCATACTGGAAATGGAATATAGCTAGAAATGCAGTTCTCGTGCGGCAATCCTATATAGCTATATGCACAAATCAAACACCTTATTATAAAATAAAAAATCAGTAGTTGTGCCCCTTGTCTTTACAAAATCCTAACTTCTTCAAAGCATCTTCTATTTCTTGATAGACTGTGGGATCAACTACTGTCGCAGAAATCTAGAAAATAAAAAAATAGTTACACAAAAAGCTAGGATTGTAAGCTCCGTCAGACCGAACCGAAAGAAAAAAAATGCGTCAAGTAGGTTGACTCCGCACTCCCCGCGCAAACGCTGTTATCAGTTCATAAAGGATTATGATCGGTTCAAGTTAGCTGCGAACGTGTATAAGTATATATAAGTGGATCAAGTCAGTCAAACCGACCTACACAATACGGAATTCGCATCTGCTTCAAATGTCGCTTGATTACTTTCATTTACAGTAAATTGCTTCTTGATTGCTATAAAATTACGAGTATTACCAATTAGGTTATCTATATACTTTCCACGCAACTGCGTCATCAGTTGAAAGTGGATTATGCTCAGCACAAGTTAGAACCTATCGAAATGGACATCGCCATAGACTTTATATCCTAAATAGAGGATAGTTGTTGTGCTTGCGTTTTTTGTCCGAGAGACCGTAGCTTAAACCATGCTGATGAGTTGCCAAACAGCACGAAACAGCTGTCTATCATTGGCTGTGTTTGATTGGTCAGACGCAAGCATCGTATTTTACTTAGACCCCCCCCCCCAAAACAAGTTAGTTGCAAACATGTATAATAATGGAATTTCAAAGGATCAAGTCCGTCAAACAGGTCCGTACAATTAATCCACAACATTCTGTCCCAATCTATGATGTCTGAAATATGCCTAATAGATGCGTAGAATTACCGGGGTGGATGTTCATTAATATACTAACATCAAAAAAATGCTATACACCCTTCGTACCCCCAATTTTTCTACTCCTCAATTTGTTTTTCCAAAAATAATCAGTATGATCTGAATCGTCCAAAAACGAGGTTTCAGTGATTTTAATTTTTTTTTGTTTTTGGCCTTTTTCTCCGCCGCTACTGGACCGATTTTCAAAGGCTAAATGCTTTTTCGTCTTTCGCATAGTAGTAACCTTGTGTGAAAATTTCATCAAATTTCAACCTGGACTTCCTAAGTTATAACGGAATCAAGGTTTAGCGTACAGACTGACGAAAATGAGTGACATGGTTTTTCGCGATTACAATACTTTCTCGTCCAGTGGCTTAGTAGGTAAAATATAAAAAATAGGCGGTAAATTTGAAATGTCGAAACGCAACGCCACTGACGTCACGTCCCCATTTGCGACTTGTGATCAGCCAACCCTTTGTTGATTGGTCAGTCCGATTTAAAATAGCAGGCATTTGTTCTCACTGTCACTGACTGTCAACCCGTCAGTTTGATGTTAAAGCTTTTAAATGTAATTTCTAGTAATAAACATAACCTATAAATTCTTTGTAATTAGATGGTACGTCATAACCCTATTTCACGAGTATCAATCACGACTTGAGGTCTACTGAGGTGAACACTTGATCAACAAGTGACATTTTTGTGTTAGTCTGCAACGTTGGCTATAATGAATCGGGTATAAATCTGGTAAAACTTGTTTGTGATGTTTAACTTTTGTATGCAAATGAACTTTTCTATACAAAAGAGCTGTTAGCAAGTACAAAATGAATCTGTAGTGTATAAAAAACCAAAACAAAATACGGCTCTGTCTACCTGGCGTTGACGGATCCGTCAGAATTCTGTGTCCTGTGCCCATATGGGGAATTTTGGAGTATTACTAGATAACCAGGTAACATTCTACCGTGATAGATACTATGAAACAAGGTATATAAAAAACTCGACAGTAACCAAACAAACCAAACAAAAATACAATCAAATGACAAATTTGTGTGTTTGTTTGTTTCGGATTTATTTAGCATTTAATGCTACATTGTCCATAATATCCATATTACACAGTATATCACAAAATATATGTTTTCACCCCTAATAAAAATTGCAAAAATGAACAGGTGCCTCTGAAAAGTCAGAAACGAATTTTGAGCGATTTTTTGTTATTTCCCCCTAGCTCCGCCGCCACTGGATCAATTTTTAAAAACTTTTTCGTCCTTGACGTATGTGTCAAAATTTCATTAAATTCCGAGTGCTACTTTCCAAGTTATCGATGAGTCAAGGATTAGCAGTCATAGCATGTCATACAGGGTGACCCAATGAAAAGGCCGCACCCCCACCTCTGACTCTCCTGGTATATTTTGAGAAAAACGCTCGGACACGTCAATTTTGATCTCTAGGGTGACGTCTTTTTATGTAAATCCGTACAATACAGAATGATCCAAAAATGAGACATTGCGTTGCACTTTGGATTTTTAAATGGAAACCTTTTAGTTGGGCCACCCTGTATAATATCCATCAAAGGGCATAAAGAAGCAGGCCTCTTTCTTGTGTGAATTGACAAATTAAGAACCTTTGAGACTGACACAGAAAAATATACCTACCTTTTTGAGCTTGTTCCTAGCTAGGTCAGAGATTGACTTCCTACAAATTTTTCCCGATCTTGTCATTGGTAGACCTCTCACTGCTACTGCCAGCTTGAATGCTGCTACAGCTCCAACACTCTCTCGAATCATAGTGACAAGTTCTTTTGCTACTATGAATTCGCTTAGTACAGCTTCTGCAATAATAGACAAGGTTTTTATTACGGAAACAAAAGTATAGTGTTCAAAGAGGAAGACGTGCACACACAGGATGCTAAGAGATAAAAGACGCTTGGGAACCTCTTGATATAACTCATTTTTTCTTGAAAACCATTTAACATGGCCTATTTATATTAGCGTCAAAAAAGTAATTGAAAAGAACTGCCAAATAAAAAAAGTCGTATGAAAAATGCCAAAAAAATCTGCTATAGTCTGTGTAAGGTGAGGATAGTTTTCACCCTTCTCGAACTTCTTAGAAATTTTCGTAAAAGTCAAATATTCGAACGTATAAAAAACTTTATCTGAAGTCACTTGAAACACTGTGAAATACCGGGTGCGTTTTATATATCTATATTTAACACGCTCTGTTGCTGCAAAAATCGCCAAATTTCGCAGCAAATATCCCCCGTATAAGAGATCAAGGGCAGTTTCACCGGTCCACGTGGAGTAAAGCACGCCTATGCGTGGACATAGCCAATGAGAAAGCGTGTATTTCAGAGCTCGGAACAAGTGCAGGTGGCTACTGAAAATTGAAACAGTTTAGCCAGTGCCGTGTAGCGGTGAATAAACGTGTTTTCTTTAGTCTGTCCGTGTTTTTTCATAGATTTTATTAGTTTGTGTGTTTTTGACTTTTGAATACTCAGTTTACTTGTTGATTTAGTTGTTGTGTTGATTGTTCTTGTGTGTCCTAAATATGGCTCTTTGGAGACCTTGGGAAAATGCTCCAAGCCACGAGGAGGTGGTTGATGAACCTGTGCAGGCAGAATTCTTTCATAAAGATTTAGAGGAACAGACCCAAAGAGTAATCCTAAATATGTATGATTGTCTGAAAAACGAAAATCCAGATTCCTCGCAAAATCAAATTTTAAACAGAAATTGTATCCTGACAAAAATCAGTCGGTCTACCATTTATCGGGTTATAAAAAGGGGAGATGTAGTCAACCATTCCTTCCACAGAAAGCGCATAGGGCAAAAATTAAAAAGAATAGACGTGGGTTTTCAGGAAGATATTCGTCGTATAATATACGGATTTTATAAAGAAAATTTGGTGCCCACGTTGGAAATGATACGGGATAAATTAAAAGATTATCCTGAAGATTTTTATAATTACAAATGCCTAGACTCACTGCACTGTATTGTAAAACTGTGTGGTTTTCAATACAAAAAATTAGATAAAAGAATGGTGATTATGGAGTAGTCTCGAATCGTTGAATTGCGCCAAGAATTTTTGCACAAAGTTAAAATCTATAGAGAGCAGAAAAGAAATCTGATTTACCTGGATGAAACGTGGTATGATACCCATGATGTTGTGCAGTACGGCTGGGATGACGACAGCAACAAGTGCATTTTAAATGCACCATGCAACCGTGGAAAACGAATCATTATTCTCCATGCTGGCAGTGAAAATGGATTTATACCTAATGCCTTGCTGTTATCTGCCAAAAATATCAAAGAATCATGTGCCGACTATCATGAGGACATGACCTCCGACTTATTTGAAAAGTGGATAGAGCAGCAGTTAATACCAAAACATTTCCCCAAATTCAGTGATTATTATGGACAATGCGCCATACCATTCCCGACAGAAAAACAGAATTCCGAATACAGGCACAAAAAAACAAGACATTATTGATTTTATGAAGGATAAGGGAATGGAAATACCACAAAAATCAACCAAAGCCATATTATTGGATCTTATTAAAAGACAAAAATTTGAAAAAGAGTATGTTGTTGACAATCTGCTTCAGCAAAATGGCCATGAAGCATTACGTCTACCTCCCTATTACTGCATTTTTAACCCGATTGAGTTGGCCTGGGCTGCTTTAAAAAAAAAGTAAGAAAACATAATCAGACCCCTCAATTAAGTGAATCGCTATTGGCCACAATAAGAGATGCAGTATCTCATATTGCTGCCACAGACCTATGGAAGCAGTGTTCTAGGCATATTATTGAAAAAGAAAATGAATATTGTGTTTTGCCTCCTGTAAATCCCGTTGTAATTCCTCTACAAGATGACTCTAGCGACAGCTCCGAAGGCGAGGATGATATATAAATACCTATAATGTAAGTCTTTATATACCTTTTTATATACCTACCTGCTATGTAAATATTTGCCTATGTCAAACGTTGGAATTCTGTAATTTTTCCATTTCTTAACTTTCAGTCAACATAAATTAAACTCCCAATATAAGTATTTTTTATCCCAAATCAAAAAAATAAGAAGATAGTAAAATCCATTTATTGTGATATAAAAACATTATTATTATCATTCTAAATAAATCACCGCACGCCTATGATACGTCATGAAATTACAAAGGACGCGCCGAAAAAAGGTTTTTATGCTATTTCAAGTGACTTCAGATATACCATACAGCAAAGCATGTTTTTCCAAATTTCATTCAAATTGGGCTGTCAGTTCTTAAAATATCTTGAAATATGTGTTTTAAAAAGAAAACTTTGTCGTTCTCTAACCAAGCAATATGTGCTATAAACCATAGAGCCTATTTACCATTAAAACATTCAAAAGAACAATAACGACCCCAAAACTTGCCGCCTGATTGAGGGCGCAGTGATCAAAGCAAGTACCAAGTACTGCGCATGACCAGGGTGTATGAGGTTATATTAGTAGGAGGTCAAGCGCTTGCATCTGCAGGTACCTGTTTTTTTTGATCTAACGATTTTTATGAATAATACATAGAAATATCTGCCAGGCAACCCTGCTGTAATGTATTCCACTGTTATTTCACTTTATGGCCTTCTTGATTTTCATAGTATTTTCTCTCCCTCAGAAAGGTTGGGGTATTCCTAGATTTCTACTGTTCCGTGTCATCGTCAACGCTCTTCTAATTATGTTTTCTTTTTGAATCGCAAGAAATTACATGCTGATAAACAAATGATAAGAATCAAAAGCATGAACAATTTGATGCAAATATATATTTGTAACATAACCTCAAAATAGAGCGCCTTTCTGAAGGACATCAAAAATTATGGAAATAAAGAAAGTGCTTGTCTGGCCGATATATCAAAGTACGGCATTGCCAGATGGGTAGGACCGAATTTCCCCAGAACAAGCACAAAAATCCCTCAAAATTGCTACTTTTAAAAAAATCCCCCAAATCACTGTTAATTAATGGAAAGTGGTAGGTCTGATTCAAAGAACGGAGGAATGCTTTCTACCCGCGAAACGTGTGATACACCTAAAAAATTCGCCATTAAAAATCCCCCTAATTTGGGGGAAAATCCCCCAACACGCCAACGCTGTAAAAGCACCTCTGGTACTCCAGGCATCAAGCTTGGGGCTCATTTTTATAGCGCGAAATAATGGTTCTACAAATGATATCTCACCACCTTCTTTCATGACGAAGAGACAAAGGGGTACTTCAAACTTGATTTCGTCCGGCACCGAAACCACACACGCATTTGCGACGTCCGGATGTCCAAGAATGATGTTCTCCAGTGCCAGTGTGGATAGTCGATGACCTGCTACGTTGATGACGTCATCTGCTCTAGCTGTCACGTATACTCTGCCTTCTGCGTCTATGTAGCCTGCGTCCATGGTATCGTAGTGACCCTGCAAATTAAAATTATCACATATTCGGTTCTGATAATTCAAATTTGCAGCTTGTAAGAACAGAAGAAATATCCGATATACAGGGTGACTTTGAAGTTGAGTCATTAATTTTCAGATAATTATTGTAGAAGGAAGATAAACCAAAATATGTGTGTAAAAATAAAAAAAATTTTTTTACCTTGTTTTATAAAGTATCCTCCCGACAAGTATTTCAGTGCGGACCCGTATTTGATCGTGAGGTCTTGGAGCACCGGCATGCCCTCCCCTGTGAGGTCTTAAGTCACCTGATTCACGAGCCCGTTGTACTACATTAACAAAGGCACGAGGGGTTGGTTGCACTCGATTGGGAAACCGATCCGCATAAATATGTGCCATTTTTCATTTCGTTTGAGCCACGCAGCAAACACCACTATTCACTCACGCGTTACCGACTGACACATTGACTGAATAAAAACATCGTGATCAGGGTTTCAAATTCTTTCGCTTTTTTGTTTCCGATGCGATGAACCGATAAGGCGGAGTATATCCGTTGTTGCCAAACACGAGCACATAATATTATTATTGAGACAGGGCGGTACTCAAACTTCTAAAGGGCTATAACTTTGTTACTTTAATTTTACCAAAAAAATGTTAAAGGAAAAAAACATTTCTTTTGATCAGATCTACTCACTGTTAAAATAAATGACTCAACTTCGAAGTATGTACCTAAAAAAAATTTTGCAGTTGCACTTCGTCGCCGGGCTGCAGATATTGCACTTTTGCCCATGGTAAGGATCTAAAACTTTCCGATTTAAAATTCTCCACCCAAGACTTTGGGAACATGGTAACTGGGCTGCAATCTGCCTAGTACTTATACTAGGAACATCCAACGCCAAATTAATCACTTCCAGTTTCTCTTGAACAGTATGCCGGACACCACGGAGTCTAACTCTAAAAAACAGTGGCGTACTATTTTTATTTGGAAAATAATGCCACTAATCCTCTGTATCTTCGCCACTGGTTCACGTTAATTTTAAGTAAAGACTCTTGAATGTGGACAACACTTAGGAAAATCCACATTCCAAATCTTAGTTCATTTCAGTTGACGGTTTTCAACACCCCGTATATTTTTAATGAAGCCCTCAATGATAAAATGTTACATCGAATACAATGTGGTCCTGTGCATGATGTTTCATTTTTGGTAAACTTGTAAATCACCCTGTATTTAGATATTTTCTTGGCTCTCTATTTCTGCAATAAAAATGGGGGTTCCAGATTGAAATATCAACTTGCCCTGGAATTGACCTTCAAGGTGAATGTCAACGTCATATCCAAGGCCACACTGATTTCCTGAAGCTTTTGTATACTAAGTGACATATAAATCCGAACACCCAGTTTAAATGGTTTTATTTTACTAAAATTTTGTATAAGTACTTAATGAAGCATAATAAGTAAATGATAAAAATTTCAAAATGATTGCACTGCTTTAGAGCCCTTTGACCTTTAATAATGTGTGGATGCACCCTGATGTGCTACGCATTCTCCAACGTGCCTAGGCATGCTTCTGATCAGATGGTCAATGTCCTCCTGTGGTATCTCATTCCAGGCAACCACCAACTCCTCTCGAAGTGCTTCTAGAGTCTGAGGAGGACGTGGCAAATTGAGCAATCTCCTACCCATCATATCCCACACCTGCTCAATTGGGGATAAGTCGGAAGATCTTGGTGGCCATGGTAACAATTTGACATCATTATGTTGAAAGAAGTCTATTGTGACTCTTGCAACATGTGGTCGGGCATTATCTTGTTGGAAAGTTGGATCTGCCAGGGTGTCAAGATAGGGTAAAAGATGGGGTTCTAGAACTTCGTGGATATAACGCTGCGCGTTCATGTTACTTCTGATGAAGATTAAAGGTGACCTGGAACCATAAGCTATAGCACCCCAAACCATAACTCCAACAGTGTGATGAACATGTCTTTCAACAGAAAACTGTGGATTTCTCCTTTCACCACGTCGCCTTCTAACCCTGGCACGACCATCGTGCATGCCTAAACAAAATCGAGACTCGTCACTAAAGACAATACTATTCCATTCCTGATCCCAGAGTGACCGTTGTCTGCACCACTCAAGGCGATTACGTCGGTGTTCTCGAGTTAAAGGGAGGACCCAGTGTGGCCGGTATGAAAACAAGCCAAAACTTCTCATTCGTCGGTAAACACTTCGTATGCCAATAGGTCTTCCGTGTTCTGCAAACCATTCATTTGCAATAGACCTGGTAGTGGAGAAACGGTCCCTTAAGGCCTATAATCTTAGGCGGCGATCTTCACGGTCTGTTGTTCTACGGCGGCGTCCAGTGCCCCTTGCTCTTTGCGTACGGCCTTCTCGAAGTCATGCCTGACAACACCTAACCACAGTGTCTACACTTCTTTGCACTCTAACTGCAATTGCCCGAAAAGAAAGTCCAGCTTCCCGAAGTCCCACTATACGGCCCCTATCAAAGTCACTAAGTTGACGAAATCGTACAGGTCTCCGTACTCTAGGCATCGTAACCGATCGTAAAGGATGTCAAGAACCAAAATCCGCCAACGTTGATTCCTTACTGCGGCTGAAATATTCATTTTTAGAGCGTTAGTGAATTAAAAAAAAAGCAGTATAAAAACCGGAATGTCCAACTGATAAGGCTGAAAATTTTTTCACTTGTTATTCACAGTAAGATAAATACATTCACCAACTTTTATTAAAATAAAACCATTTAAACTGGGTGTTCGGATTTATATGTCACTTAGTATATTTGGGTGTGTCCGTAGTTCTGGGACGCTCTGTACAGAACACATCATATATCTGGCACAGAATAAACACCTCTCACATGAGTGATACCGAGGTCCCTATTATAAATATTAACAACGTATTTGCAGTCATAAGCCAAAAGGAAAGTTAGGAACAACGATAATGGATACGGTAATGACCTGTCTTTGTCTAAAAATTCCCCATTACGAGTATTATAGAATATTATACAATTGTACCATAATAAAATACCCATAATTATAAAATAAGTCGCTTATTTTGTTACTATTTTGCAATATAGAAATGCGTAATGCTTTGAATACGGCTACATCAATTCTAGTAAAAGGAATATCTTATAGAGGATACAGTTAGGTGCAATCATTGTGTAGTGTTTGTGCTTCAATGAAACAAATATTGTCAGTTATTTCTTATGATCATGTTTTTGTTTTCCCAATTTGCTCCAAACTCACCGTTTAAGTTCTGTAAATGAAATTTTTATCTCAGCCTAATAAGTCGTTCAATTAACAATGAAAATCTAATGCTTTTTGGTGGTAAGGTAATGGGTTGTCCAATAGGGACGCAGGAAAGTAAACGTCAATTTGACATAGACGCCATCTTTGTTCTCTGTCACCTACATGTCATTTTCTTAGTTGCATATTTACCATAGATCGCTATCGAGTCGTATTCGATTGAAGACCGCATTAAAGTTATTCAAGAGCATTACAAAAATGGTGCAAAAATAAAAAACACGTTTCACGCGCTTCGTGAACATTTCGGTCGCAACAACCGCCCAAACGAAATAACCGTCGGTCGTCTGGTGCGTAAATTCGAGGCAACAGGTTCTGTGGCAAATCTGCCAGGCTCTGGCCGGCCAAGGAGCGTTCGCACACCGGAAAATATTGCTGTTGTGAAGGAGAGTGTGAGACGATCCGAAACAATCAACAACGCGTCGATCCCAAGAATTGGGCATTTCGAGAACCAGTTTGCTCCGCATTCTCCACAAGGATTTGAATGTACATGCCTACAAGATCCAATTGACGCAAGAGCTGCGTCGGGCCGACCATTTTTCGCCCGAACGTTCTCAGATTTTCTCCTTGAACACCGCCAAATTGATGCAAATTTTTCATCAAAAATCATTTTCAGCGACGAAGCTCATTTCACTTTGAATGGGACCGTAAACAAGCAAAACGGCCGCATCTGGGCGAACGAAAATCCCCGTGAGTATAAAGAGCAGCCGATGCATCCTCAAAAAGTGACTGTGTGGTGTGCATTGTGGTCAAAAGGCATCATCGGACCTTACTTTTTCGAAAATGCGGCCGGGGACGCCGTTACCGTCAATTCTAAGCGATATCAAATGATGATAGAGGACTATTTTTTGCCGCAACTTGAAGGAATGGATATGGACGATGTTTATTTCCAACAAGACGGTGCAACATGCCACACAACCAACGTCAATATCCATCGATTGCAGTCCTTCTTCGGTGATCGCGTGATTTCGCGCAGAGGAAATGTGCCATGGCCACCAAGATCGTGCGATTTGACTCCTTTGGACTTCTTTTTATGGGGATATTTGAAAAGTCTACGTCAACAAACCAGCCGCCTTCCAAGAACTCAAAAACAACATCATTGCCGAGATAAATGCCATAGAACCGACCATGTTGCAAAATGTCATTGAAAATTTCGAACATCGCGTGGACGTCTGTAAATCCAGTCGTGGTGAACATTTGAGCGATATTATTTTTCATACATAAATGGTATAAATGAACCTTCAAAATAAAGTACCCAACTTGATTTGAATATCAATCTTTCTTGTTTTAATATGCCTTTACTTTCCTGCGTCCGTTTTGGACAAGCCCATATTTTGCAATATAGAAATGCGTAATGCTTTGAATACGGCTACATCAATTCTAGTAATGCAATCATTGTATAGTGTTTGTTCTTCAATGAAACAAATATTGCCAGTTATTTCTTATGATCATGTTTTTGTTTTCCCAATTTGCTCCAAACCGGTGAGTTTAAGTTCTGTAAACGGAATTTTTATCTCAGCCAAATAAATCGTTCAATTAATAATGAAAATCTAATGCTTTTTTGTGGTAAGGTACGATTTACAAGCCGCGTGGTACAGCTTTGCAACAGCTTTTCAAAAAGCTTATTATTCTGAACTCTCAGTATGTAATGGGTGATTTTTTGCTAGTATCTTTTTGGCAACACTGTTTTTGACAGATGACGCATGAATT